ATTTTTTCTAAAACAACTTTAACTAATTAAATATAGCTATAATGGATCATTTGAAATAGTTACTTATGTCTATTATATCCAGTAAATAGACATTTCTTTGATATGCACATCTTTTACTTGCAGCATTTTAAATTACTGTTTACATTTTAAGCTAAAATTATGAAATTACATGATTCTACTTTATTATATGTAAAAATGACTTGACAGAGTAGTCTAGCTAGAAGTTCAGTTTCAAAGTCATTGTTTTGAAATGTGTTTGTTTGGCGTTGTCATGATTTTGCACGGCGGATACTTCATTACACATTTACACAGTCATCTGATAGTTGTTACTGGTATTGGTATTTCCTTAATGGAAAGAGATCTTTGGAATATTCCTAATTGTACCTCCTCATGAACCTTGCGAGTCACTGAAATACAGATTTATAGAAGAGTAAACATGGCCCCTTTATTCCTGTTTACTGTCTCCACTTTATTTTCTCTCTGAGTTTGATTTTCATTAATGTTGACTAGATTCCCCCCCACCTTTTTTAGTGGGGAACATGGCAGTTAGTGACAAGGAAAAGAATGAGCTATCGTAGTTAATTGTTAAAGGTGTCTTAGAGTTGGCATGTTCCAATTATTCATATTTAACTCAGTTTTAAAGTCTTTCATTAATACTATCATTTTATATAATGAAAAGTGTTGTTCACTGTTATTGCTACTAAAAATTCCCACATTTATGATCCTCAAATATTTTCTATGTCCTTGATCTTCAATATCTTAATATTTAAATCCCTGTTATTTAATTTCAAAATAATCAATGATGTTATTTCATATACAAAGATTCTTTATAATTTTAGGGCTCCTTTACTTTTAACCAGCACCATGTGATTACCAGTTAATTTAGCTTCCAAATGTGTGCATCTAAAATACTTGTTCTTTTTGAAATAAGCCAGTGATTTATTTATTGCTTCTGTGTGTTGTGTATTATAAAGAGAAATCTCTTCTTGATGCATATAACGCGGGTTTATTGGAGACAGAGCATTTTCCTCTCTGCAAGGACTGCATTACATCACCTTATAAAATGCTTGCTTCCACCATTCATACTGCTAAAGAAGCAATTCAACACAGAAGTGGCTAGTATACTTCCCTTCCTTGAATCAGAATAGCTTTTGACATTTGAAAATGTATCATTAACTCATTTATAAATGGTCTCATTTCATTTTTGAGGATTCAAGTTGGAATGCCAGCCACACAGTAGCATTAGGAGGAAGGGTAACTGGCACTGAGGCATGCACTTAAGCAATAGAGGAATTTACTTTTCAGTGTCTTCCAAGGCCCATGAGGATGCACACTTATTTACCCAGAGAGTGTGGATCTCACTGTTTGTCCAGAGGTGTGACTGTGGAGGAGAATACTGATGGGTAAGTATCTGACTCTTACTGTGCTATGTTTCAGAAAGACGTGTGGAAGTCAATGGGCTTTTAGCAGTGATACAGTCTCTTAGTCTGTGCTGGTTTCTTAACAGTGGACAGTCCCAGATGTTGAAGCCAGCACAAGAGAAAACCCAAATCCTGATAAGACTTGAGGATTTTTTTGAAAATTAAATGCAAAATAGTTGGGGCACATGTTGCTGCGGGGTTCAAGACTGAGTAACGCAGTAGGAAGATAAGAAGTTGGAGAGCTTCTCATGTCCTCTTTTGCAAAACGTTTGCATATGTACAAACCCAGGACTCTAATGCCTTTTTAAGAGGGTGCAAAATTACATCTCTTGGAACTTAAAGCAGCAGACACATGTGAACCGGAATGTACACTGTGGCCCCCACCGTTACTTTTAATCTTTCTTCGCAAAGTACTTTATGTTTCTCAATAAAAGCTGTGCCTTCTGAGACCTGTGAGTGATGCATCCTGGCCACATAGAATCTTTTGAAAACGTTTTCCAAATCCAGGTTGTTAGTGTGGAGTTATGTTTGTTTAGGAAACAGTAAAGCAAGGAGATACGGGAGGCCGATTTTAGAGACCAATTGCTGCTTCTGCTTCTGCCATATGGTTTCTTCTCTTTTTCTTTCAGCCAAGAACTGTTAAGATCCACAATTGCCTGTTGGTTGAAAAGATTCGTAAAATAATGTTTGTGCGTGCGATACAAAAGTTTAAAGCAAAACAAAACAAAATAAAAATCAGTCACCTGAGCCCTAGCCAGTTTGGCTCAGTGGATAGAGCGTCGGCCTGCGGACCCAGGGGTCCCAGGTTTCATTCCGGTCAAGGGCATGGACCTTGGTTGCAGTCTCCTCATCGGCCTGGCCCTGGTCAGGGCTTGTGCAGGAGGCAACCAATCAATTTGTTTTTCTCACATTGATTGTTTCCTCTGTCTTTCACTCTCTCTTCCACTCTCCCTAAAAATCAATGGGAAAAAATATCCTCTGGAGATGAATAAATAAATAAATAAATAAATAGCCGCCCTGATGTTTGATAGGCCTTCTGGGAATTACCGTACCTCATAAACATAGGCCAGAGTGACACTGCCAGAGCCCCCACACCGCCTGGGGAAGGCTTAAGATCGACTTAAGCCATCCATGCCTCACTCAGTGGTGAGTGGAAATGCAGAGCCTGTGAGGAAGAATTCAGCGCTTAGATTTGGCATCATGCTCACAAGGGTTAGAGTTGCCAGTTCCTAGCTCGCTGGCCTTCAGCAAGATGCTTGAGGATTCGGAGTTTGTTTCTTCTGCTGGAGAATGACATGCTGTAGAACGTCTTCTAGCACAATGACTGGCAGTGGTCCCACCAGGCTGAACCAAGGAGTCTAGGTACACGGTCTAAATCATGGCCACAAAGATGCTGGGGTAGACCATGGCAGGAACACCTCCTAGTGACATGATAGTAAGAATGCATTTCTGTGCGATCCATTTTGGTTTTGCCTTGTGTCTAATTCTACCAATCCCTAATCTTTAGGACTCACCTCAAAATCTCTTGAAGCTACTTTTTAGGAGATGTGGATAATGTGTGTGAAGGGGAGGGCATCAACAGCAAAAAGCTTAGGTGAAAGGGGAAGAGATATTCAGTCATCCAGCCATTATAGCAAATGCCTGCTGTGTGCTAGGACCTGGGGCTACGGCAGTGAACAAAACAGACAAAAAGCCTGGCAGTCATAAGCTTATGTTCTAGATGTGGGAGATAGGCCATCCACAAATGACTGTTGGATGATGGAGATAAAACACCTGTAAAAGGGGTGGTGAGAACTGGGGCACGGCAGTGGCTTTCAGGTTAAAATAGGGCTCATTGAAAAGGTGATATTTAAACAGGCTTGAACGAGGTCAGGAGCCAACCATGAGCAAGTCTGGACAAAGGGGGCATTGGGAGCAAATCTGTACGTCACTGCAGGGACTGCCTTTTCCTCTGAGCGGGCTGTGAAGCCATTGGGGAGTTTTGAACAGAGAAGCGACATGATCTGACTTACAAGACTCTCTCTGGGGGCAGTGATGGAATCAGGGACTAGTTAACAGATTATTGGAGTAATTCAGGGTGGAAATGATGGTAGCCTGGATCAGGTGGTAATGGTGGAGGTGATAAATGGTCAGATTCTGGATCAGGATTGATTGGTCATGTGATTTGGTGCGTGAGGGTCTAAGATGTGTTAAGGATGACCTCAGAATTTTTGGGCTGACAACTGGAAGGGCTAAGTTGTCATTTACTGTTTACTGAGATGAAAGTTGGAGAAGAAGGTGCTGGGAAGAGATCAGTTCAGGTGTGGCCAAGATGAGATTCCTACTAGATAGCCTAGTTGTAGAGAGGGGATAGTTGGATGTACAGTGGCCATTATTTAATGCTCAATTTACACAAGTTGGTAATTCATAAAAGTTCTGTTTAAATCTCTAAGAAGACAGTATTATAATTCACATTTTATATATTAGGAAATGGTGCAGAAATATGAAGTTTCTTAGGCTTACAGATCTGAAACCTTGTTTTGTGGCTGCAAGTTCCACATTGTTCTACTAACTTTACTATGCTAGTTATAAAATAGTTACTCAGTTTTATAATTGCCATAATTGGTTAAACAAAGTACATCACATACCCACACTCTCTCTTATCTAAAGTATAAATAATATATTTGAAAAGGTTTATGTGAACGTTTGTTTTTTTTAACTTTTCCATGTGTTGAAAACTAATATTCTCACGTAGGCTTTAACTTTGCATGTATATTTAGGATTTTTAAAAAATGGTGAATGGAGATGGCAATGAATATAATTTTTAAAAAACATTCTTATATATAAACATTTTTTCTTTTAATAGCAGTTTACTTTATGATAATTTATGTTCCTGTCAGTTCTTTAAAGGGGAAAATGCATTTTCAAATCTTAAATGCATTTCTTTTTTTAGAGTCAAATGTATGTTTATTTTTTGAACCAGAAGTTCAAGTAATAAAAACACATGTGATTGTCTGAGCTTTGATATTATTGTTCTAGAAATGATGGCAAACTGTACAATACAGATAGCAAAATAGAAGTTGAAATCTATCAAAAATGCCTATTTTACTATTTAAAGGTTTATGTACTTCTATAATTTTCATCTGTAAAGCAATGGAATGTTTATTTTATCAGTTCCTAAGGCATTTAAACTTTATGTGGTCTAATGACTTAAGTGATCAGGAGTAGATTAGTATAGCTTTCTTAAATAAAGCAAGCATATATATTTTTATTGATTTCAGAGAGGAAGGGAGAGGGAGAGAAAGGGAGAAACATCAATGATGAGAGAGAATCACTGATTAGCTGCAATCTGCACACCCCACACTGGGGATTGAGCCCGCAGCCCGGCCACATCCTCGAATGGGAATCCAGTTGTGACCTCCTGGTTCATAGGTTGAGCTCAACCACTGAGCCATGCTGGCCGGGCCATACATATTCTTGGAAGTCATATACAGTTATTTGTGGAATGTGACTATGTTTGTTTTTATGACCTTGGATTTTTAAAACTTACAGTTTATGCTCTCTCACCTATATAATAGCAAACTCTTTCTGATTTTACAGGAAGTCCTGCATGTTGCAGGTGTGGAAATGCAGTTAACAGCTGCAGTATCATTTTTGACCATTCTACACGAAGAATCAGTGTCAATTCATACGTATGCCCACTCCTTCCTCCAAATCATTCTACTGCATCTGGAGCACAGGGATGCAGGTCAGGAGCCTGGCACGCTTCTTTCGTTAGTTATTTATTGCTCTAAATGATCATTTAGCATTAGTTTGGCTTTCACTTAGCATTATTTTCCTATGTTATTTTAAACTCATGTGGTCATGATGATCTTGGAATCTTGTTAGTCTCATGAGGACAACGAGTGGGGTCATGCTGTCCAAGAGTTGGTCATTAGTGTGACTAAAAATAGCCCTGGCTGTTTCCTTACAAAACCCACGAAGTTCAGTATCCTTGAAAGCTGAAGACCCATTAGTTCATCTTACGATTTACACTTTCTTCTTAGAGTTTTTGAAGGTTTACAGCATTTGTGTTTATAATATAACTGTACAGCAAAAATGCACAATTTGGGGTAAAGATAGCTCCCCAGTATTATTATTTTTAAAATATATTTTTATTGATTTCAGAGAGGAAGGGAGAGGGAGATAGAAACATCAGTGAGGAGAGAGAATCATTCATTGGCTGCCTCCTGCATGCCCCCCACTGGGGACTGAGCCCACAACCTGGGCATGTGCCCTTAACTGGGATTGAACCTGGTACCCTTCAGTCCACAGGCTGACACTCTATCCCAGGGGTGGGCAAACTTTTTGACTCGAGGGCCACAATGGGTTCTTAAACTGGACCGGAGGGCTGGAACAAAAGCACGGATGGAGTGTTTGTGTGAACTAATATAAATTCAAAGTAAACATCATTACATAAAAGGGTACGGTCTTTTTTTTTTTTTTTGTTTTATTCATTTCAAACGGGCCGGATCTGGCCCGCGGGCCGTAGTTTGCCCACGGCTGCTCCACTGAACCACCAAATCAGATAGGGCTCCCCAATATTATTTTTAAAGATATAAATGTTTGTTTTCTAAAATAAAAATAGAGAAACTTCTTACAATGGTAGTAATTATTATTCCATTTTATCATTAAGTAATATTGTAGCAAATAATGGCTGAGTTGAAACTAGACTTGTGAGATTAAATTTCCATGTTTTATCTGTGTCAATCAGGTGTCAGCAATGCATGGCTGGAAACTCTTCTGTCTGTGATAGAAGTGTTGCCCAAAGAAACCCTAAGGCATGAGGTAACTCTTTTCTTTTGGTGTGTGTGGGGGAGTAAATACTAAGTCACTCCACAGTTTTTCTTTTTATAGAAATGGCATTTAAAAGAAAGAATAAAGTTATTTCCCACTCTGAAAGCAAAGCATGGTAATTATAGAAAATTTGAGTAATACAGAAATTAGTAAGGAGAAAAATCATGATTCTGTACTTAGCCACTTTTAACATTCTGATATATTTTCATTGCAGATTTCCCCCTTATGTACTAGTATGGTTGTTGGCCATATTAATGATCATTTAGCATTAGTTTGGTTTTCACTTACCATTATTTTCCTATGTTATTTTAAACTCATTTGGCAGTATGTACAAAATATTTTACTTACTTGTTAGACATTTAACCCTGGTTTCAGTATTTTATTATCAAAATAAGGCAGTAATGAACATTTCTATAGAGCTTTTCCTGTTTTTCAGATGATTTAACTATAGCTTTCAAAAAAGTGAAATTACTGGGTCAGAGAGCATTAATATTCTTCAGCATCTTAACTAGCAGCATGTGAAAATGCCTGTCTCCCTGGACTTTTATCAGCAATAGTGTTGCAGTTTAACTTGATGGGCCAAAAATGGCATTACATTTTAATCAGAATTTTAAAAATTAGTCTATTTTATATATTTCTCATATATTATGTCACTTTTAATTATTCGTTTGGAATTGTCGAAGAGTATCATTAATTACTATTTGTATGTGCTGTTTATCTATCAAAGTTGCCAGTCCTTTGTTATGTTTATTGCCAGTATTGTTACCAGTTTGTTATTTGCTTTTTAATTTTCGATATTGTTCAGTACATCCTTCTCTGAAAGCTTTAGTAAAGTAAGATGAGAGAGTACGAAAATTAGAAAGGAATTTTTTTCTGTAATGAAAGGTTTTTCATCCTGAGAACATTATCCCTATATGTTTTTCTTTTCAAATATGTCATTGTTGAAAAAACCCAGTAATCTGTCAGTAAAATGTCCTCTCTGGGCTTTATGAAGTGTCTTCATCCTTTGCCCTCACACAATTTATTGTCCTTTCTCGGAGGACAAAACACTTGCTTGAAAATGGGAAGATTTACCCATTTATAAGGATGCTTGTATGCTTGATGCCAAAAATCTAGATGATGACACCTATTTAAATGTTCAATGTAATGTTGATGTGTATTATTTATATATTTTTTGAAGAGTGGAATGTGGTAGAATGCAGTTTTTACTCTAGAATGCCATCTGTTATTTAACGTGATTTTAAATATTTTAAATATGTGTTTTACTTTATTTGAAATGTTTCACTTTTAAGTTATATTTATCATTATGTGCTCAGTAATTCTGGCTACTTTGTTGAGAGGAATAAAGTCAGTTTATTAGAGTCATAGAATTTTAGAACTTGGAGGAATTTGCATATGACATATTCTGATTTCCATTTTAAGTAGATGAGAAATAGTACGCTGACTTGGACAAGTTAAAGAGCTGGGACCAGAGTCAGGATCTGATTGTGATAGTTCTTCACAATCTATCTTGCTGTTGATTTTTTGAGTGCCCAACATATACATATACATGTACATGTACATATACATATACATATACATGTACACTGTCAAGTAGACTTGGGTGTTGTATTCAAATGACAGAATTACTTAATAGAATCTATTTGAACCTATAATTTATGTTTTGGATTACTTCAGAATAAATATGAAAATTTATTTAAGGGTAGATGGCTAATAATTTGCTTTTTTTCTTTTGAATATATTTCCCAATTATACTTTAGGTGCTTACAGACCATTGCAGAATTCACCATAAGCTTTAATGCAATCTTCTTTGTGCATAATTGTTTTTAGTTACTTAATTTATCACCATCTTTATCATATGTATTTATATATTTATTTATATATTTATATATTTATTTATTTATAATAAATATTTATATATATATATCCCAGAAGACAAACAAGGTGATCTAGGTTATGAATATCCATAATTTCTGCATTTCAAATTATAATTCAGATTCTTTAAAAACATTGAGAACATAAAACTATTCTTTGAAGAAAATAGTTGACATTAGTGTCAAGAATATATAAAACTTTGTGAATTTGTTCTCTCAATCTTTCTCTTCAGATTTTGAATCCACTTGTTTCCAAGGCACAACTTTCCCAAACCGTCCAGTCTCGTTTAGTTAGTTGTAAAATTTTAGGAAAATTGACCAACAAATTTGATGCCCATACGTGAGTATTCATATTAACTTTTTGTCTACTTTATAAAATTAAATTGATTAAAAATGAATAATAACTGTGTGACTAACAATAGATTTGTATTACTCCATATTGCATACAAATTTAGCTGTTTTAACTTTATAGAATTCTTAGAAGTCTACTTGTTCAGATGCATTTCTTTTTGATCTCATCTCTTTTCAAAATCAATAAGGTTAACTTTTGCCCTGCTGGTGTGGCTTAGTGGTTGAGCGTGGACCTATGAACCAGGAGGTCATGGTTCAATTCCTGGTCAGGGCACATGCCTGGGTTTTGGGCTCAATCCTCAGTAGGGGACGTGCAGGAGGCAGCTGATCAATGATTCTCTCTCATCATTGATGTTTCTATCTCACCCTCTCCTTTCCTTTATGAAATCAATAAAAATATATTTAAAAAATAAGGTTAATGTTTCTTCTATTTTTCATCTTAATCTACCCTGTCACATACTTAGTGTAGTTTTGAGGATAAAATGGCATTATTGTATAGACTTCAAAAATTGATAAACATGACATAAGAACAGGCTTTCTGCTTTCTTCCATTATTATTATGTTACAAATTCATTATTTTGAACAATGCATCTTAGTTGAGGTTTTATAGGTTTATAATTTGTATGCTACTTTCTACCCAAATGATAAATCCCAAATGGAAAGATGGAATGGAGTGTAATTATGACAAAAGTTAAAATATAAAATTGCAGAACATTTTGGTTGATGGTTTGGTAGAATCAGATATTCTATTTGCCTGCAGCCTTTTTTATCTTAGCTAAATGTTTAACTGCCAATCCAAAATTAACCATTATTTTAAAAACAGTCATATACATAATTTACAGTTACTGATAACATCCAAATGTAATCACTTATGTAAAAATACATTGGAAACTGTAAAGCTTTATATTAAAGTATATTTGTTATTATTAAGCTAAGATTTTGATGATAATTGTTTGAAAATATTAATTATTCCAAAACACTCACCCGTTTACATGTTTCTTTCTTCTCCTCTAAGCATTAAAAGAGAAATACTTCCCTTGGTAAAATCACTCTGTCAAGATGTAGAATATGAAGTTCGATCTTGCATGTGTCGGCAATTAGAAAATATAGCTCAGGGCATTGGGTAAGTATACTTTCAATTTCTTATGTCATATTCTTATTTCTGGATAGTCAAGCATACGTATCCTTGTTCTGTTTTCTATGGAAGCATGTTAATGAAAGGCTAAACTTTATATTATCTTTAAGAATGATTATAACAACAAGTACCTCCTGATGTGTCTGGATTAAAAGAAATAAAAGTGAAAATGCTTAGCAATGTGGGTAGGCATTCAATTAATGTTAATCTCTTTCCTTCTCACCTTAAGTTACTTAGTTATCATTCCAAACGCCTAAATCTAGGAAGGGAAAATGTTCTAATATAAACTATGTGTGCAGTTGTATTTATGAAAAATCATTTCCCTAATTTTAATCTCAGAAGCAACTTTTGGTGATAGGTCTTCTAAGTCTAGGTTGGCTCTGGACCATTGCAGCCATAATTAATTGTCTTGCCTAGATCTGTGTTCTTTAACCAGTATTTAAACCTGTTAGGAGAACACACTGTTGTTTTTTATATTCTATCTTTTTGTCACCTGGTATTTTGCCACTGTTAAAATTGGGCAGGTCATTGTGTGTTCAGATTTGTGTTCTGAAAATTAATTTAGGATTATTGTTTAAAGATTAATTTATAAAAGTAAAACTAGAAAGAATCTACCTAGCTTATCTAAAGTGCTTAGAGTAGTGCCTGACACCTTGTAAACATTAGCTAAGTGTTTACTTCTATTATTATCTCATACATCTATATATATAAAGAGCCAGGATCCATAACGTCTGCAACAACCAAGGCACAACTGAACACCGGAAGTCAGTGCTGGGTCACCACGGCAACCCAGCACTGACTGTAGCCAGTGCGGTTCAGTGACCCAGCACTGACTGCCAAGGGGCCTGCGGATCAGGCCTGGAGAGAGGCTTGCAGAGAGAGAGGCAGGGTCTGATCTGCAGCCTCTATGGCAGCTGTTGATCAGCCATTGCCTTTCTCTTTCTCTTCGGGTTCACCAGCAGCCGTGCCTATTTCTCTCTGGGTCTCCCCGGGGGTAGGGGGGACTGCTGATCAGCCCCGCCTCTTTGATCAGGCCCAGAAATAGGCCTGGAGAAACCGATCAATCAGAACCAAATCTGGGTGAAGTGCCAGGAGCCAATGGCTGTCTAGGAGGCAGAGCTTTTGATGCTGACTGGTATAGAAACCAACCAATCAGAACCAAATCTGGGTGAAGTGCCAGGAACCAATAGCTGCCTAGGAGGCAGAGCTTTTGATGCTGACTGGCATAGAAACTGACCAATCAGAACCTAATCTGGGTGACCTGCGAAGGCAGAACCTAAGGTGGTGGCTGAGGAGGGGTTTTATGGGAAACAGCTGTTTGGTGTAAGGTGTAAGAAAGCGGTTCAATTTTTTAATGACCACTTTGTCAGTATAGTGCATATGGCTGGCTATCAGTCCAGATATAGGGATTATGTGTTTTTGTCTGCCAAGAGCATCTCCTCCTGATGAAAAAGGCTCCCCCATTTAAGCAATCCTATCCTATATAATCTATCTATACTAATAAAAAGGTAATATGCTAATTAGACCAGGTTGACCAGCCATCTTCCGGATGTCTGACTTCCTTCCGGACAAAGCCATGTGGTGGGGGCCAAGGCAGAGGCAGTTCGTTAGGGGCGATCAGGCCGGCATGAGAGGGCAGTTGGGGGCAAGATCAGGCTGGCAGGGGAGGGCAGTTAGGGGCGAGATCAGGCCAGCAGGGAAGGGCAGTTAGGGGCGATCAGGCAGGCAGGCAGGTGAGTGGTTAGAAGCCAGTGGTCCCAGATTATGGTCGGACATCCCCCAAGGGGCCCCCAATTGGAGAGGGTACAGGCTGGGCTGAGGGGACCCCCCTCCCCTGTGCACGAATTTTGTGCACCAGGCCACTAGTTTTAATATAAACAACTAATTCCTTAGACTCTCTAAAATTGGAATAAAACAGGTAAAAGATAAGCAAATTTTTAATGTATATTGTAGAACTCAAAAAGATTGAGTTTGCCGAAACCGGTTTGGCTCAGTGGATAGAGCGTCGGCCTGCGGACTGAAAGGTCCCAGGTTCGATTCCGGTCAAGGGCATGTACCTGGGTTGCGGGCACATCCCCAGTAGGAGATGTGCAGGAGGCAGCTGATCGATGTTTCTCTCTCATCGATGTTTCTGGCTCTCTATCTCTCTCCCTTTCTCTTTGTAAAAAATCAATAAAATATATTTAAAAAAAAAAAAAAGATTGAGTTTATGTTTCTTCCAGTAGTACATGCAACTTTACCAATAATTCAGGTTTATCATGAACTTTTCCAATTTCATTGGCAGACGTAGTATTTCACTATCATTTTGCAAAGATATTATTCAATAACTGTCTGTCTATGTGACTATATTTCCTTCTAAACTTGAAGCACCTGGAAGACAGGATTATACCTTCTTTTATTGTTACCTCACCCATATGTAATCCAGTGCTTACTTAAGGCAGTTGCTCATGTGTGTTCATTCATTCTCTGACAGCTAATGGCGTTAAACAATGAGTTGAATATTTGGTTAGGAGCTACTTGTATTTTGAAGTAGATGGTCATTTTCTTTGCCCATCTGTCACATTCTAAAAGTCGAGGGAAATAAGGCATCATGGTAGACCTATACATATAGGATGCAACCATTTCCCTGCTTTACTTCCTCTTAGCAAACTGGAGTAATTTTTTTCAGGAAGTAGGTGTGGGTTGTATATTGCACAAGGTAGTTTATTTATGAGAGTATTTTTCTCTTGCCTTCACATGTAAATCCCACCCTGGCTTGGGCAGAATTCTTGATTATAATCCTTTTTACTAAAAACTCTTCTGTTATTTAAGTATATGGAACAGAAGTCTGAGGACAGCCTGATCCTGTTATTTTTGTAGAAGTCCAGTTTTATTAGCTTAGGTGCTAGTCGTTACAATCTAACCCTCCAAGAGCTCAGAAGGGAATAAGATACAGGGTCAGGGATAACGAGATGAATGAAATAAATAGGTGAGCTTGTCCACATGGCCAACCAGGAATTCTAGGGTCAGGCTGTGTGGTCCAATCTACCGCAGTGCTGGCTATGATCTGTTGTGATCTGATGGTTAGCTGTCTGCTCCAGATTAAATACTGATGAAGAAGATCCTGCATTTTATGGTTGGCCAAGACAGCAGAATAGTACTAGCATTTCTTTCTTTCTTTCTTTTTTTGTTTTTGTTAATCCTCATTCATGGATATTTTTTCATTGATTTTTAGAGAGAGTGGAAAGGAAGGGGAGAGACAGCGAAACATCAGTGTGAGAGAGACATATTGATTGGTTGCCTCCTGCATATACCCCGATTTAAATAATTTTGCAGTTAATATTAATATTTAGTTATATCAAGCTTTCCCAACCAGCCTGCAAGTTTCTAGAGAGCATGAGCCATGTCTTATGATTTTTCCCAGTTTCCTGTAACATCTAGCCCCGTGACTTGTTTTTAGTAAGTTCTTGCTATAAATTTATTGATTTGATTTCTTTTCTTCCGTTGCTTACTGTGCAGGACAGACCTTACAAAAAGTGTGGTGCTCCCTGAATTAATAGAACTCTCCAGGGATGAAGGCTGCAGTGTGAGGCTTGCAGCATTTGAAACTTTGGTCAATCTGCTTGACATATTTGATACAGGTAAATCTTCATGTGGACACACCTTTGCTTCTGGAAGCAGTGTTTCCCCCTAGGTTTTGTAGCACTGATAAGGAGTAAAGGTGGGTGCAGGACAGATTTTCTCACGTTACGTTTCATGTTGAACGTTAAACTCTCTTCCTGTCTCTCTTTCTGTGGTCGTTTCTCTCTGCTGCCCCTCTTTCTTACCCTCATGGCGCCCACTGTTGCTGCATGTTCCATACCTCCCTTTTCTCTTGTCAACATTTAACTGACTTGTGTGTAGGACTAGAAATTTGGCTTGGTCATTAGCGTTTAACCTGCTCAGCTAATTGACCCTTTAATCAAGAAAGACCTTGATTAAAGCAATATTTAAATTAGTTTCCTCCTTAATATTTTAATGCTAGAAATCTCATGGCCCTACACGAGAAGAAATCTGGAATGGGGCATTAACATGGGCATGGGGAAGGAGGTATTTCTTAGTGTTGTGCAAATTAAATCACAAAGACAATGAGCTTCCTTCCTGAGTGTATGACTAGACTCTTGACTAATGCTGGACTTTATCAGTAAACATTAACCATTCTGGTAGGATGAAATTTGCAGGGGTAAATATCAAGTACTCTGCTATAAAACTCTATTGCATAATTATAGGATTACATTGACTTGGATTAACAAAATTTTACAAAATTTTTTTAAAAGTTGATTTCAGAGATGGGGAGAGGGAGAGAGAGATAGAAACATCAATGAAGAGAGAGGACCACTGACCGGCTGCCTCCTGCACACTCTGCACTGGAGATTGAGCCCACAGCCTGAGCATGTCCTTCTGGTTCATGGCTCAATGCTCAACTGAGCCACGCTGGCCGGGCTTACCTGAATTTGTGAGTCTCTTAAAGATTATTGCAATGTGGACAATAATTATGTATGAATGTTTTAGAATAATATTTAGGCTGTATGATGAGCCAGAGACATACAAACTGCACTGCACATTGAATGACTGAAAAAATGAATCTCCTTGTCCTAATAATGGGGCACCCCCAGGCAACCAAACTAGCAAATTGGTATCATCTTTGATCTCTTCCCCTTCTCTGGCCCACACTTGGTGATTGGCAGTTTGGGCCTAACTTATATTCGTGGCTTTATTTCCTCACTTGGCACACCAAATTCTTTCAGACCTTTAGCCTTTCCACATGCTCTTTCTGTACCTGTTTTTTCTCCCTCCTAGCCTACTTCTCTTGCTCCGGTGCCCAGTTCTAATATATTTTCCCCTCTAACATCTTTCCAAATCCCTTATACCAGGGGGTTGGCAAATTATGGCCTATAGGCCAACTCCCGTCATCACCTGGCTTTATAAATGAGGTTTATTGGAGCATAGCCATGCCCTCCTGCTTATGTGTTCTCTGTAGCTGATTTTGTGCTACAGTGACGGAGTTGAGTAGTTTTCGTAGATAAACTGCAAAGGCTAGAAAGTTTACCAAAAAGGTTAACAGACCCCTGCATTATACCAACTATGCAAACTATGATCACACTGTCCTATGATACTTTTTTTTAGCTTCTTCACTGCTCTCATTTTCTCAAGTTCAGAGGTCATTTATCTTTCATCTTGTTACTTAATATGTTTTTTTCTGTAAGAAATTAAATAAATGCTTGTTTAAAGAATGTCATTTAGTTAAAACAGTATAGGTGATACTGAAATGTGTTTATAATCCTATATAATAAAAGCCTAATATGCTAAGTGTCCAGTTGTCTGGTCGGCTGTTCATCCAATCAAAGCGTAATGCTAATGATATGCTAAGGCCGCTCAACTGCTCACTATGATGTGCACTGACCACCAGGAGGCAGATAGTTGACTGGTCGACCAGTCACTATGATGTGCATTGACCACCTGGGGGTAGAAGCTTTGACCAGTACGCAGCTTGCTTCTGGGGTCTGGCCAATCGGGACTGAGCGAGACAGGCCGGATATGCCCTGGAGCCCTCCCATTGGCCCTTCCCAGCTGGCCAACCTCCCGAGTCCCTCCCCAGCCCTGATTGTGCACCCGTGGGGTCACTCAGCCTGACCTGCACCCTCTCGCAATCCAGGACCCCTCAGGGGATATCAGAGAGCTGGTTTTGGCCTGATCCCGCAGTCCAGGCCAAGGGACCCCACTGCTGCATGAATTCATGCACCGGGCCTCTAGTAACAGTAATAACAATAATACTAATAAGCCTGTTATAGCACTTTACTTAATATCGTCCGACCAACCCCTAATAAAATAGTAATTTATTTCTGAAAGTTTAAGAGAACTGAGAAATTCAGAGTATTTAGAATCAAGACTTAAGTATTACTAATATATCAGAAACTTTTGACTTAAGCAGGCATACTCAATAAATCAATCAGCATTTTAAAGAAGACTTATCTAAGAAATAATAGTGAAGAAATTCACTGTACAGAACATACTATAAGCTAACTTAATTTCAATCAAAAAGCTGCAGAAAGTCATGAGATGGATGCAAGAGAGAGTCAGAAAGGTTTTCTGTGCCTGGTTCTCATGTATTGGTATTAGTGATATTAGAATTCTTTTAATTATTCAGGCTCAAAACCGCAATCATCTTAGCTTTTAAATTTGTAATCACTTTATATGTTAGTAGAGGCCCGGTGTATGAGATTCATGCACTCGGGAAGCGGGGTCCCTCAGCCTGGCCTGTGCCCTCTTGCAGTCCAGGAGCCCTTCGGGGATGTCTAATTGATGGCTTAGGCCAGTGGTTCTCAACCTTCCTAATGCCGTGACCCTTTAATACAGTTCCTCATGTTGTGGTGACCCCCAATTTCATTGTTACAAATTGAATATAATTAAAGCATAGTGATTAATCACAAAAACAATATGTAATTATATATGTGTTTTCCGATGGTCTTAAGCGACCCCTATGAAAGGGTCGTTCGACCCCCAAAGGGGTCGCGACCCATAGGTTGAGAACCGCTGGCTTAGGCTCACGGGAGCGGGCCTAAGCCATCAGTCGGACATCCTTAGCACTGCCACAGAGGTGGGAGAGGCTCCTGCCACTGCTGCTGCACTTGCCAGCCGTGAGTCCAGCTTCTGGCTGAGCGGTGCTCCCCTGTGGGAGGGCACTGACCATCAGTGGGCAGCTCCTGCATTGAGAGTCTGCCCCCTGGTGGTCAGTGTGCGTCATAGTGACTGGTCGTTCCGCTATTCAGTCGATTTGCATATTAGCCTTTTATTATAAAGGATTCCCTAAGGTCCACCATATAAAGTGTAACTCCCTCAGCCTGGCATTAAAGTTTTTGATAATTTCAACTCTCCTCTGACCCTTTCTTCACTATACACTGCCATCTTCATTATTTTCAGATATTTTTTACTGCTGTGTGACTAGCATAGTAATATTTTTTTCTGGAACTTATGTATATGTATTAGTTTCCAAATGTGCAGTATGAGCAATGGATCTAAAGTATGTTTTATTTCGGTTTGTTTTCCAGATGATAGAAGTCAAACTATACTTCCCTTAGTGAAATCATTTTGTGAAAAGTCTTTCAAAGCAGATGAATCAATTCTTATTTCCTTATCTTTCCATTTAGGAAAACTATGCCATGGACTATACGGTATGATGTATCCTAAGAATTTCAAGGTTATAGATAATTTTTCCTTTTTCTTCTACCTTTGTCACTAAACTTCAGCCATCCAGTTGTAAAATTTACCCTTTAAGTGTGTAAACTCTTAAGAGATCTTAGAATTTTGGTAGCATAATTTAGAACACATTTAGAAATAACATTTTTTACTAATAGAACTGATTTGATAGAACAGTGACAGAGTGAAGTAGGAGTAGCCTTTTAAATTTCTGAATATTTTATGTGTTAGTTTGTATCTGATAAAAAAAGCTCAGGCATATTAACTATTGTTACATAGCTATACCCTTATTAATCATCTGTTGAATAATAAATGTATAATATGAGACTTTCAGCTTAGAAAGTAGAATAACACCCATAACTCTTGGCACTTTGAATATATTAGTCAGTTCTTAGCTTACTATAATAATGTAATCATTAAGTTATAACCATCTAGCATAGTAAAACATTTTATGTGGATTGTAGGCTTTCAATGGGTAGTTGAAAAATATATTGGAATTCATATTGAGTTTCTAGCTCCCTAACATAGTTAATGAATGTGGAACCAGTTTATTGATAAAAATATTTTTAAAAAATCTATTTTATTGATTTTTTTTCAGAGAGGAAGGGAGAGGGATATAGAGTTAGAAACATCGATGAGAGAGAAACATCGATCATCTGCCTCCTGCACACTCCCCACTGGGGATGTGCCCACAACCAAGGTACATGTCCTTGATCAGAATCAAACCTGGGACCCTTGAGTCCGCAGGCTGACGCTCTTATCCATTGAGCCAAACCAGTTAGGGCGATAAAAATATTTTGAAAAAAAAATATTTTGAGCTTATTTTGCTATCTTTCAGATTCAATTTTCAAGCTCCTCTGTAGACACATATACATGTCTTTTCAGCAGGCAATTTAGAATATTTACCATAAGTAAGTAGCAATAATGGCCACACTATTATTATTATAGTGACTTGTTAGGTCTGCAGTGTGACATATGCTGCAGAAATTAATGAATTAATGCAGGCATAATTCTTGTATTGCATAGTTTATGCTATTGAAATTAAAATATTATTAAAATCAATATAAGGTGAAACAGTAGACCCTTTAGATTTCTTAATAACAGTTACTTTTTCCTCCTTGTTGCTGTTATTTATGATCTCTAACCATTTATTTAAATATTTGGTTCTAATTTTTATTGTACTTTGCTTTTATCTTTTTAATTTTTAATTAAAACATTGAACAAATGTTTTACATTTCTCTAGGAATTTTTACTCCAGATCAACACTTGAGATTTTTGGAGTTTTATAAGAAACTTTGTACATTAGGTTTGCAGCAAGAAAATGGACACAATGAAAACCAGATTCCACCCCAAATCTTAGAGCAGGAGAAGAAATATACTTCAGTACGGAAGAACTGTGCTTATAACCTTCCGGTAATAAATTATATATTTGTGTTGATTAAACATTTTGATTATTACTTAAAATTATGTGAATAGATAGCATTAAAAATATTGCCATATTTGACACCTGCTGTTTAGCATTGTACCTGGTATATATATAGTAGGTACCTAGTAAATGTTGGTGTAATTTACATTGACTTCTATGTATAAACTAGAGGCCCAGTGCATGAATTTGTGCACAGGTGGGGTCCTTCAGGGTGAGCTGCAAGGTTGGGGGCACGAGCTGAGGCCCAGCTCGCACCCCCAGCCTCACAGCCCCACAGCCCTGCCTGGCACCCTGACTTGGCCTGGCACTGCCCCCTCACCTGCTCTACCATCCCACCGTGTCCAGCTCTTGTTGGGGCCCATCAGGGCTGGCAGCGCCTCCAGTGACGCCCACTGCCAGCACTGCCCACTGACAGTGCCGCATCGCAGACGCCTGCCATGTTCCACGCCGCTCCCTGGTGGTCAGCACACATCATAGCAAGTGGTCAAACTCCCAGTAGACCTCCCAATGCGGGGATAATTTGCATATTAGGCTTTTATTATATAGGATTAGAATTATATGCATACATTTGGATCTTTCAAATATGATTTCTAAGTAAGTTATGATTCATAGGACATGATTTCAATGTAAGTGAAATGAATATTATGTATTGATGCATGCTTTTCTCTCCTTCCACCTCCACCAGGCCATGATTGTTTTTGTTGACCCTAAAAATTTCCAATTGGAACTCTATTCTACATTCTTTTGCCTTTGTCATGACCCTGAGGTACCCGTCAGATACACTATTGCCATTTGCTTTTATGAAGTAAGTCTGAAGAAGTGATACATTTGTTATTAATTCTACCTATTAACTAGATGATTATTTGGTATTTTGTACACTTCTATTTATAGTAGTATTAGAAAATATAAGCTCTATATTTTTTTCACAGTCTAGTCCTAAATCTTTTTAAAAATTTTCTCAATTATCTTCTTAGAATGTAAATTCGTTTACAAAAATATTATATTTTTATCATTTATTAATCCATTCATTCAATATATTTATATGAGTGCTTACTTTAGGCTAGACTGTCCCAACTCCTTGCATGCTGACTGAAGTCTCTGATAGAAAAGCCTTTATTTTTGCTCGCTTAGGCACTGTCCCTACCTGTGTTGTGGGCCTGCAGTAGCAATTGCCTCTCTCAGAAGCTCTGAGCCGGGATGGATGCCCATAAACCCGAGATGCCCTGGTGGACCTGATGGCTGCTCTGAGGCTTCCCACTGTGCAGGGAGGCACCCTGGGCTCACTGGTGCTTGTGATAGCAAAGTTATGACTGATACACTCAGTTTCCTGCACTTCCATCCATAGGTTCATTTCTCACCCTCATACGTTCGCACACTGCAGCATGTTCTAGCAGACTATAAAGCTAGTCATGTATGCAACTAATTTTTCTAGAAATCTAATGTTATATTTATGTTTTAACCTAGTCTCATTTTAGAAGTACCTAACAGGGATGTAATTTTAAGAATTGTTATTACAACCTTTATATGTCTAGTAGAGTCAAATCTGAGAGACTTTATTGCTACATTTTAGGTGTCTAAACTTCTGAATTCTGGAGTATATTTAATACACAAAGAACTAATAACATTATTACAAGACGAATCACTGGAGGTAATTTCTTACTTTTTGAGTTTTACTTGTTTTATGTTAAGTCTGAATACATCAATGCCTTCCCCCTACTTCTTGGGAATTGCATGGCCTTTCAGTTGACCAGCCCCAGAAGCTTGGAGTCCATGTACCATTGTATCAGAGACTGAAAGTTGGGAAGGTCTTTTATAAAAATTAGGTTTTAAAATATATTTAGTTAAAATAATTATATATATATATAGTGTTCCCCCCAAAATGTATACGCTACTAAAAGCTGATAGCTCAATTCATGTTTCTTTCTTTTCAGATTTAATCCATTGGAATTAATAATTATTCAAAGTGTGTATACATTTTTTGGGGACGCCCTCTATATACATATATATTGGTTTGTGCAGGAAAATTTTGGAAATGCCAAAAAGTAGACAAACTTTTAAAAGAGTGAGTACCTTTAGTTCCAGTCACTATTAGTATTTTGTTAAATTTTTTCATTTTTTTCTATATAAAGATTTTTATTTTACACAACTGTAACCCTATGTTATATCACTTTTTATATCTTTTTCTCTCAGCATTACTTGGGCAGTATACTTGTGAAGGCTTTGAAATACTTAATTTTGATGCAGTAGTTAATATATTCTATCCACCTAAATGATACTAGCTTGCTACAGTGCAACTCCACGTCACTGGGGGTGCTTTTCAGAGGTGTTTGAGCAGATTGATGTGTAGCTGTCTCAGATCTAGACTGTTTAAACATATTAAGAGGCAGCATAGGTCAGTATAGTTTGATAGTGTGATAGTGAAGGGAGTTTGATCAAGGCAGTTGATTATGTCTCTAAGACCCTCCCGCAAGAAGAGGTAAGGAAAGTAAGAAAATAGAACCCCCCAAAATGTTGTTTGGTAAATAGCACTGTTTCCGTGTAGGAATTGACATGTGGAGTTAACTAATCTAAGATTAGAAAAACATTGTAATTGCCAGAAGAATAATCATTATCTCTATTAAAAGGTACTAGATGCTCTTATAGATCATCTTCCGGAAATCCTGGAACTTATGTCTACGGGTGGAGAAAGCAGTATTCAAGAAAATAAGGTAATCCCCTATGTCAAAAAGTTTCTGAATGCTGTGAAGTACTATTTCTCTCTACAGAGCTGTGAGGAGTCAGTGAAAGGCTGTGTGGGAAACATTTAAGTAGTGCTTGACACAGTAGGTGCTCAGTAAATGCCTGTTGGAGTCTGAGCAGCTTGAATTTCCTCTACAGTTCGTACACTACCATGGCTTTATTTATAGTCCTTGGAGTTTACATTCATATTTTCACTTTTTATTCACATTATTATTCCAGAAATAACAACTTGTAAGGACAAAGGAGTAGGAATTTAGAAAGTCAAAGTTGGCTGACAGTGAAATAGAATAAACTTTAATTAGAAGGGTTGTGAGAGTCCCAGTCTCTATTTCAAAATTTTGTTTCCAGCAACTAATAAGTTTTATTTTTGGATATTTTTTAAGTATTTGATTTAATCGGATTATTATCTCCCTGTGACAACTGAGATGCCTCCGATGTTCTGAAATGAACTGCCTTCAGCAGTGTGTTGTTAGCTGACCCATCTGACGGAATCCTGCAGTTGATTTATTTATCGCTGGTTCTTTTGGTGTTTTCCGTTTCAGTTGCCATCCCTGCCTGACTTGATTCCAGCACTCACGGCTGCTGAACAGCGAGCTGCAGCCTCTTTAAAATGGAGAACCCATGAGAAGCTGCTGCAGAAATATGCCTGTCTGCCACACATCATATCAAGTGACCAGATTTATTATCGTTTCTTACAAAGAATGTTCACAATCATGATGACAAATGTGAGCCCCACCCCTTTATCTTCTTTGGGATTCCTGGCAAGTTTTTTACATTCTTGAGACAGTGCAGCACCCAGTTCATTCCATTCTGCCAGAAGGAAGGTCTCTTCCCAGTTGCTTCTCCACTGGTCTCCCTTGCTCATCTTCTGCCACCGGGAGAGGAGTGAGCAGGCAGCGCCTTCACTTACCCTGTTTGCATGCCGCCAGGGAGAGGGTAAATAGACTCATGTCAGCCTGGATGCAGTCTGTCTCAAGGGAAGGCTGAGGGAGCGGGCGGCCTCCACTGCCAGTGCCCCTTCTGCTCTGACGAGCACCTTTTGTGTGTGGCGGCCTCAGGGCCTGCTTAACCCTGCCATTTTGCCAAGGCTCCCTCAGTCCCCTTAACATTAGTCTGGTTACGTTGTAAAAATAGTCCCTGAAGAGTGGCCATGCAGCAGGCAAAGCTTATACGAAAACATGGGTGCCCTTCCAGGGATAACTTTAAAATTTGAATCAGAAGCGGGGGGTGGAGGGGTAGTGAGAGAAAGTGGGGAGAATTGTACATAAACTTCCCCATTGACTAAGTTGTCTGCCTTTTTCACAAGAATTCCAGCGGGGATTATTTAACCCGCAGTTCACTGGCCAGTTTAGATGACATCCTACTACCATCTTCTGAAGTATAAGAATTTCCATGTAATGCATACATCTTAGAAACTGTTAAAAAGTACTTTAGATTCTTATTGTTCTCAGTGAAAGGGAGAGAATGAAATCTAGCAGCCATCTCAAAAATCCAAATTAGCTTTGGCTTCAAAGATGAAAAAAAAATGACGTTGATATCATTTACTAGTTAAGTTAAAAAATTCGAGGCATATGTTTCATGAACTAACACTTCTACAAGTTTATTTCATGTATCGAAGCAAAGCGTGGAGGATGCAGGCACATTGTAGATGGAACAGCCGCGAGAGGTGATTTGATAACAATAATGTCCTTGTCAGAAGACAGGGCATGCGTGCACCACATTGGACTTCACATGAAATTTAGCAAAACTGACTATTTCACTTTTCTGAGTGCCTGCTCTGGCTCGGGCACTAAGAGTTGGGGATACAGGAGTGACCAAGACAGACAGAGTCCTGCTCTAATGGAGCTTGTGTTCTAAGGAGGGGGTGGTGAGGAGAGTGATAGATGATAAAATAAGTAAATATACCTGCACGTACTGAAAAGTGCTATGAAGTTTGGTCTTATTATTTCAATTTAATTACTCAGTAGGCATGTTTGTATTTAGAAAACTGAGACTACATAATTATTCCATATTTTTAGCTTCTCTTACTAGGAAAGAGAAGTGATTTATAACCATAGAGTGTGAACAAAATACTTTTAAGCCTCAGAGATTTGTTTTATTGTTTTCTTTTACAAGGAGGGTAATTCCACACATAAAAAGAGATACATGATTATTACCGCACACTTTTCAGGACCAGAGAAGACATTCCTTCTGTTTCAGTATTCTCTGGAGAAAAGAAAAATGTACATTTACTTTTACATCTAATGGTCATAATAATATTCATTTATTTAACACTGTTCTGGATGCTAGGAATACAATAGTGAATCGAAGAGACAAAGGACCTATTCTTGTGGAACCTTACATTTTATTGGAGACAGGCAATAAGCAAGCACACGCATATATAGCATGCCAAGGATGAAAGTACAATAAGGAACTACAGAGCAAGCTTCAGGAAGAGTGAGGAGGGCGGCAGCCTGCTGTTGTGGACATAATGGCAGGAAAAAGCTCTCTGATCAAGAGTGCCTCGTGCAGAGGCCTGAGCACTAATGAGTGAGCATGTGGATGTGGAGGATCTAATGAAGGTCTAGCTATTGCCTCTGGTTGTTACATCTCTTAATCCAGAGCAGATCCTCCCCCCACCCCCCCCCCCCCCCCCCGCCCACCATTCCCTATTTGTTCATGATGTTGAATTTGGGAAGACTTAGTTGTCTTGTGGAATATTTCAATTCTGTGTTTGTTAGATTGCTTTTTCATAGGGTTAATTTGTTCATCTATTTTCATGTTTCTTGTAAACTGGAAGGTAGATGTAAGGGCTTGCTGAGTTTTAGGTTAAGCATTTTTGGCTTAACCTAAATATTTCATAAGTGCTACTGTATACTTATATTGCATTGTATCTGGATGGTTGTCCCTATACGTGACTTAAGGGTGGCTGTGCAGGTGATAACAGTTCTGTTAGTCCACTTCAAAATTATGCTTTCTCCCTGTGATTGGCATTGTAATCTGAAGCTGACACCCAATTTCCCATCAGCCTTTTACCCATTAGTTTTTGCATCCATTGATAATTATTTTTTTAAAAATTAAATCTTTATTGTTCAGATTATTACAGTTGTTCCTCTTTTTTCCCCCCATAGCTCCCCTCCACCCGGTTCCCACCCCACCCTCTGCCCTTACCCCCACCCCCACTGTCCTCATCCATAGCTATACAATTTTTGCCCAGTCACTTCCCGCACCTCCCACACCACTTCCTGCCCCACCCCCACCCCCAAGAATAGTCAGTCCACTCCCTTTCTATGTCCCTGATTCTATTATATTCACCAGTTCATTCTGTTCATCAGATTATTTATTCACTTGATTTTTAGATTCACTTGTTGATAGATGTGTATTTGTTGTTCATAATTTGTACCTTTACCTTTTTCTTCTTCTTCCTCTTCTTAAAGGATACCTTTCAGCATTTCATATAATACTGGTTTAGTGGTGATGAACTCCTTTAGCTTTTTCTTATCTGTGAAGCTCTTTATCTGACCTTCAATTCTGAATGATAGCTTTGCTGGGTAAAGTAATCTTGGTTCTAGGTTCTTGGTATTCATCACTTTGAGTATTTCTTGCCACTCCCTTCTGCCCTGCATAGTTTCTGTTGAGAAATCAGCTGACAGTCGTATGGGTACTCCCTTGTAGGTAACTGACTGTTTTTCTCTTGCTGCTTTTAAGATTCTCTCTTTGTGTTTTGCTCTTGGCATTTTAATTATGATGTGTCTTGGTGTGGTTCTCTTTGGATTCCTTTTGTTTGTGGTTCTCTGCGCTTCCTGGACTTGTAAGTCTATTTCTTTCACCAGGTAGGGGAAGTTTTCTGTCATTATTTCTTCAAATAGGTTTCAATATCTTGCTCTCTCTCTTCTTCTGGCACCCCCATAATTCGGATGTTGGTATGCTTGAAGTTGTCCCAGAGGCTCCTTACACTATCTTCATATTTTTGGATTCTTTTTGTTTTTCCGGTTGGGTGTTTCTTGCTTCTTCGTATTTCAAATCTTTGACTTGATTCTTGTTATCCTCTGGTCTGCTGTTGGAACTCTGTATAATATTCTTTATTTCAGTCAGTGTATGCTTAATTTCTAGTTGGTCCTTTATCATAACCTCGAGGGTCTCACTAGATTTCTTGAGGGTCTCACTACATTTATCGGTGGTTTCTAGAAAATTCTTGAAAAACCTTATAAGTGTGGTTTTGAACTCTATATCCATTAGTTTGCTTTCCTCCATTTCTGTCATTTGTGACCTGTTTCTTTGTCTCTGCATTTTGGCTGCTTTCCTGTGTTGATAGAGTGGCTTTCTGTGCTAGGTGTCCTACAGGGCCCAGTGGCTCAGCCTCCCCAATTACCTGAGGTGGACACTCTTGGTGCACCCCTTTGTGGGCTTTGTGCACAGTCTTGTTGTAGTTAAGCCTTGATTGTAGTTGGTATCACTGGGGGGAATTGACCTCCAGGCCAATTGGCTATGAGAATCAGCTGTGTCTGTGGTGGGAGAACTTCTGTGCTGGAGACACCCTTCTGGGGCAAGACTTGCTTCAGTGGGGCTTTGGTGCTCACTGAGTCTGCCCCCTGTGTGTGTCCCTTATGGATCTGAGGAGTTGTAATCTGGATGGTCCCACTCTGACCACTGGGTACACTGGCTCTTGGATCTCTAAGGAGGTGCTAATTTAGCCTCTGCCTGAGGCTATCAGGCAGGAGCTACGGAGAGATCTGCAGATTCCTCTTCTTTGTTTGGGATTTGGAGATGCCCAGATGAGGCCCAGCTGTGAAGCGATGCAAGCTGCTGTGGGGCCTTGGGCCTTCTTTTGGAAGTTCTGGGTCTCTCTGGCCCAGCTGCAGTTTGTTAGGTAATTTTCAGATTGCAGAGGGCCAGGCCTTTCATATACAAAAGCCTCTGCACACAGCTTGGGTGGGGCAGGGTCTCAGGGAATCAACAGGGTGGAGCAAACAGCGTGGCTGCTCCTCAGTCTTACCCTAAGAGGCTCCTCGTCTCAGTGTCCCAGTAATCACCATAAGCACCTCTGAGAGAAAGCCGCCCTTGAGTTCCGACCGATGCCAGGCAGTCCAGTTTCTCCCCGTATGAGTCTGGGTCCGCAGAGACTCACCCGGAACTGGAGTTCAGAGCAGTTGGGAGCTTGAGACTCCCTTCCGATTGAAAAAGACAACCATGTCCTCAGTTGCCAGCCCTTTCCACGTGCGCCTCCATACCTCTGCACTTTACTTCCACACCTCCTCTGAGTCTCAGTGTGCTTTTCTCTTTCCTTCTAGTTGTAGAATTTCCACTCAGCCAGCCTTCCTGTCGTTCTGGATGATGTCTGTTTTGTCTTTTAGTTGTATTTTTGAAGTGGTTGTGCCATCTTTATTTTCCTCTATTGATAATTCTTAACCTGAATCAATTATTTCATTAGAACTTGCAAAAGAGTGATTTTTAAAAATTCTATCATTTCTTCTACACTTTTAATGATATTCTTCTGTGAAGAGATGCTCTTCTCTATCCACTTGGGCTATCTGATCACCTGAAATACGTTTCCTAGTGGAAATGTAAAGACAGGATGCATTCTTATTCTTTCCCTCCATTGATTTGCAGAGCTAGCATTTGGGGCAGAAGCCACTTGCAGTGGTGACAAAGGAATTTTATTTTTGGTTTTGTCTCTTATTTAGACTCATTTTTATATTAAATAATGTTTTAATCAGCTACAGCCATTCTTTGTGTGCTCAAATTGTCCCAACATCTTCAAGCTGCCTTTTATGTGCTTTTGATATGATTGCATTTACCTTTAAATTCTGGCTCCAAAGATAATTTGCCTCTTTTTTTTTTTTTAACCTTTTATAATGTACTAGAGGCCCAGAGCACGAAATTCATGCACAGGGGAGGGAGGTCCCTCAGCCCAGCCTGCACCCTCTCCAATCGGGACCCCTCGGGGGATGTCCAACTGCCTCTTGCAATTTGGGACTGTTGGCTCCTAACCACTCGCCTGCCTGTCTGCCTGCCTGATCGAACCTAACCCCTCTGCCTGCCTGTCTGATCTCTCCTAACTGCTCCCCTACCAGTCTGATGCCCCTAACTGCCTCTGCCTCACCTCGCACCCAGGACCCAGGATTCCATCCTTCAGCCGGTTGCAGGCACCTGGGACTCGGGTCGGCTTCGCCTGGGCTGGCTGCAGCCACAGGGGACCGTGGGCAGGCGGCTTTGCCTGGGCCACAACCACAGGCGCTGGCTCCTGGGACTGTGGGGCGGCAGCTTGTCCTTCTCCCAGGCTGCAAGCACAGCTGCTGGTGCCCAGGACCATGGGGCGGGCGGCTTGTCCCTCTCCGGGCCGCAGGTGCAGCCACTGGCACCTGGGACCATGGGGACTGTGGGGTGTATGGATTGTCCCTCTCCCAGGCCGCAGGCACAGGTGCAGCCGCTGAACCCAGGACCATGGGGTGTGCAGCTTGTCCCTCTCCCAGGCTGCAGGTGCTGGTGCCCGGGACTGTGGGGTAGGCGGCTTCCTCTCCCAGGCCACTTGTCCCTCACTCGGGCTGCAGCTGCAGGCGCTGGTTCCCAGGACCACAGGGCGGGCGGCTTTTCTCTCTCCCGGGCCACAGGTGCAGCTGCTGGCGCCCAGGACCACAGGGACCATGGAGCATGCAGATTGTCCCTCTCCCGGGCTGCAGGCACAGCCACTGGTGCCTGGGACCGCAGGGCGGGCAGCTTGTCCCTCTCCTGGCCCGCAGCCCGGCTGGTCTCCATTCCTCTCATGAGCTCATTTGTGTCTGGCTGGTCCCCATTCCTCTCTCGTGAGCTCATTTGTGTCTGGCTGGTCCCCATTCCTCTCTCGCGAGCTCATTTGTCCCTGGCTGATCCCCATTCCTCTCCCCAGTGTTGAGTGTCTGAGCCATTAAGGCGTGAGGGCGTGATGTCTGTTTGCATATTAGCTCATTATATAGGATACTGTAAAGTACAAAATATCTGTATTTTCATGTAAGTAGTAAATATTCATTTGAAATTCTATTGTATACACAAAATGAAAGAAAAGAATAACATGCTTTTACTTAGTTCATGTATCTAAATTTTGTTTTCAAATTTTGTGATATTTCTGTTTATGTGTACTTCTTAAATTTACTGTTCTAATTTGTAGTGAACATTTCCTTTTTACATTCAATATATTAAAAACACCACACAGAATAGTACTGTCATATAATGGAAAGAGTTTTATAAAATCCTAGAGGCCTGGTGCACAGATTGGTACCCCGTTGGGTTCCCTCAGCCTGGCCTGCGCCCTCTTGCATTCTGGGATCCCTCAGGGGATGTCAGAGAGCTGGTTTCAGCCCAGTCCCTGCAGGCCAGGTCGAGGGACCCCATTGGTGCATGAATCCGTGCACCAGGCCTCTAGGATGCATGTAAGATCTTTTATTAATCTCTTCCCTCTCTACCCCTCTTCCTCCCTTCCCTCTGAGATTCATCAGTCTGTTCCATGTTTCCATGCCTGTGCATTGACCGTCTGCCCCCTGATGGTCATTGCATGTCATAGTGGCTGGCCGGTCACTTAGGCTTTTATATATATAGATGAGATGAGATAGCAGGCAATATTCTCTCAGCAATGTAAAGCTTTATCCTACTTGAATTTCAAAGCTCCCCATTATAATAATCTGAATCTTCAAAAATTGAATATTATAATGCTTACTAGAGGCCTAGTTCATGAATTCGTGCAAGTGCAAGGGTGAGGTCCAGCTGGCCTGCCACGATTGGGGCCGACTGGGCTGGGCCGGCCTGGGGGAGACCACAGGCGGTTGGCTGGCTGCCTTGCCCCCTGATCGATGGGGACAATGTGCATATTAGCCTTCTATTATATAGGATATGTAAGCCAAGATGGTGAACATGAACTTATACTGGACACAATACAGGGTGGGGTAAAAGTAGGTTTACAGTTGTGAGTATGCAAAACAGAGTTTATTCTTGTATTATTATGTATTAATTATTGTATTATTTTTCCATATGAACAACTGTAAAACTACTTTTGCCCCACCCTTTATATCTGGTTGAGAAATTTTTCTCTAACAAGTATCTTGAACCCGAACCTGATATAGGTGGATGGTTGAATTCATTTAGAATTGAGGTTGTTCCCAGTGGTGTGACAAATTCAAAGGACAACAGCGTTTAGTACCCTGTAAGAGTGACATGGTGACCTTTGGATTCTAAGTTTTATCTGTGTCATGGACCAGGGATCTCAATCAATGGCATGGAGGTTGAAGAGCCAGAAGTGAGCCAGAAGGATTGAAGAACATACCTGATCATGGGAATCTCCAAATTTATATTTTAGAAGTGGCACATTTTTAGTGATGTACCTGAGGCAGGGAATGTTCTAGCTAAAGTTTGTTGAATAAACGAGTGTCAGGTTCAGGGAATGACTAAGAGAATGTATTTGGGGAGATTGTCACTTATGATGAAGTGGCAAGAAAATGACAGTTAAATATGAATAAAATCTGGATGATATGGAAATGATCGTGCCAAATTAAATTAACTTTGTAATGTGATGTATTAGTTGATTTGCCTGAATGATATTAACATTAAATTATGAAGACACATCAGAGGGATATGAGTACAGTGATTTGAGAAGCAGATTACACTGCTCTTTTACTCAATAACTTAAAATTGATTTGTGGGGCCAACTTATTCAGAATATATACTAATAGACTAGTTTAATTGTCTTTCTTTTTTCTTTAAGAAAGTCTTACCTGTCCAAAAGGCAGCTTCGAGAACTTTATGCATTTTTCTACGTTATAATCGTAAACAAGAACAGAGACTTGAGGTCATTCAAAAATTAATTGAACGTGAGTAATCATTGTCTATTATTTTGAAAAAAGGTAAACAAAGTAGTTGGTCTTAATTATCTCTGACTTATGTATCATTTTGCCATGAGTAGTTAGGCTGATGTTGGTAATACCTAGAGTGTTTGTGTTTGAGTCTTACAAGTAATTTTTAGTTTGTTTTAGAAATTTATATGACAGGATCAGAGCTGTGATGAATGAAAGTAATAATTATTCTGGGCCTTTTTTTGTGTGTGAATTTCTGCAGTCAAGAACTTAAAATATGTATACTTTTGTTGAAAGCCTAGTTTCTCCCCTAATGAAAAATAATTTGAAACTAAAATATAAAAAGAATATCCATGTATCTAAGCATTTATCTTTCTGTTTTCAATATTAACAGTGAGGTTTGTTTTTTTTGAATAGAGTTGAATAAATGTGAATCTGTGAGTCTAGGTGGCTTATAATGTGTTAAAAATGAAGTCAATTAACAAATGTAAATTTATTTTAATTTGCTAAGGGCCAAAATCAAGACAAAAACCTTTAGTGCAGCGGTTCTCAACCTGTGGGTCGCGACCCCTTTGGGGGTCGAATGACCCTTTCGCAGGGGTCGCCTAAGACCATCGGAAAACACATATATAATTACATATTGTTTTTGTGATTAATCACTATGTTTTAATGATGTTCAATTTGTAACAATGAAATTGGGGGTCACCACAACATGAGGAACTGTATTAAAGGGTCGCGGCATTAGGAAGGTTGAGAACCACTGCTTTAGTGGAAGTGTTAATTCTAAAAATAGTGGCCTACATCTGTATCTACTTAGCGAATTTGTTAATTATTGTATACTTGCTTTGATAATCATGTTTTTAGCTTTTATTAAACTGTTGTCCAGTATAGGCAGGTAAAGAGATTTTCTGGTTATTGGAGTTTACCATTTTAAGTATATAGATTGCCGCTTTTCAAAACGTTAGAGTACATAAAATTTCATTTATGAAGTTATGCTTAGTACACTTTAATGTTTCATTTTTTAGTCTATTTTAATTACATTTTTATTTTTCATTGGGTAGGACCTTACATTTAAAATGTTTTATTGATTTATTTTTATTGATTGACTTTAGAGCGAGAGAGGAGAAAAGAGAAACATAAATTTGTTATCCCACTTATTTACATATTTATTGGTTGATTCTTATATGTGCCCTGACTAGGGGGTCAAACCCACAGCCTTGGTATATGGGCACCATGCTCTCACCCATGAGCTACCTGGCCAGGGCTAAAATTTTTTATTTTAAAAGAAGATTCTATTTTGGTTTTAAATATTAAAAATGTTGCCTTTGAACATTTATATAATAAGGGAGAAAATTATTCTTTTAATTTGATCCAAATTATTTTAATTCTGTAACTTAATAATATTGTAATTACATATGACTATTCACTTCAAAGCATTTTTAAGGAAACAAGGAGGAAAACAGTTAATTTGGTTGCTGGAAGGTTTTGAAGTTATACATATCTGCGTTTGAATTCTAGCTCTGCACTTAACCTGCTCTGCGACTGTAATGTCTTTGAACCTCAGTATCTTTATCTTTTAGGAGGGATAATTATGTGCTTATCCCATTGGATTGTTTTCCAGGATTGAAGGAGATAATATGTTTAAAGCACTTAGCACATAGTGCGTGATCAAAAATAGTAGATGTAGTCATTCAATATTTACTAAATGCTCATGGGATCGAATGCAATGTTTAATAGATTTTTTTCTGTTTTTTGAGGTATTATTAACTTGGGGGGGTCTACAAACCTGGGGTATATAATATGATTTTTTCTCTCTTATCTCTTGCATTTGCTAAATAAATTGTGGGTTTAAAGAAACGTGCCATGGATTTTGTGTCTGATTCTGTCATGTATTTTCATGTAGGAAAGATTAAACTTATGTTAATTTTTTGGTTTTGTTTTTAGAACTGGGCCAAGGAAAAAGTTATTGGAATAGACTTCGATTTTTGGATACCTGTGAATTTATTATAGAGCTCTTTTCCAAATCATTTTTCTGTAAATATTTCTTTCTACCTGCTATTGAACTGACACATGATCCAGTAGCAAATGTGAGGTATGGTTATCAATCCAAGAAAATATTTGAAAAATGTATTTTAATATATCTACTATAATGAATATATGCAAAATGTTGTTTTAGTCAATTAAAAATTCAAGTAGAGAATTTGTATTAGCTTTGGAATTCTTAGTGAACAGGGGTAGGGCTGCTGTGAAGTCTTTTTCTTGCCTTTCCAATGTTCAGCTGTCTTGCATTTTTGAAACCCAATAGATATTATTTGCAGTTGGTTAACTGTTTGATTAGAGGGAATAGGACTGGAAATGGCTTGCTTGGAAATTGAAAAAAGTAATAGATATATTTTGCCTCTTTTCCCCCTCCCAAAATAAGCATATTATTTCTTTCTTTTAATTGTGGTAAAATACGTAACATAAAATTTACCATTTTTACCATTTTTAAGTGAATAGTCCAGTGGCATTTCATACACGCATACTCTTCCAGTTATTTGTACAGTGCATAATGAGTTGAAGAGAACTGTAGCCCGTCAGCCATTAGATATCTGTGTTTTCTGCGCCATGTCTCTGTTCTGAACTTGAGGACCTCAGGTCTGGAGGGGAGAGACACAAAGTCAGGTGGCCAAGATTTCCCTGAATAGAAGGACTCCTGAACTCCCTGCTGGGTTTTCACATGCTACCCACGTGCTGTGTGACATGTGCATCTTTTATAATGAACTCGCGTGAATTGTAGGCAATATTATAAAACTAACAGGAAGAATTGTCAAGGCAATAAACATGGGGTTGCTGTTGAAAGAAAATATACAAGAAGAATTGCCAAGGATGTTGAAAAGTTCACCCTGAGAGTTTTGAGATCATTGTTTAGGGGAACATCTCCAGAGATTGGCTTCGTTTTGCATTTGTGTGTGAGAACTCACAGAAAGCACTGTTGCATCGGCTTCAGTAGTTTGTGCATCTCCTTTCTGCTATGTGAGAGGCACGGTTTCCTTAGAGTAAATTTAAAGAACTGTTGATAATTCTTTAGAATTTAGCTCTTGCTAAAGAAGTAATGGATCTGACCATATTATTAACATTTTGAAAATTGAAGTTGTGATTCTAGAAAAGTGGCTTTCAATGAGATGAACTATCACCAAGAAGTTGACAAAAATTATTTGAAGGGAAATGGAATCATCTCTCTCTGGGCAATGGGACTAATCATATAGCATTGGCGCTAAGGGAAAGCAACCTGCCAATGCAAAAGCCAAGTGCAGATTAATTGAATATTGCTCTATGAATGGTGATGATATTTGTGGGTAAGAGCTCACTGAATAGCAGGAAGTCTTGGTTCCCACTTCCTGCCTAGGTGGCTGCCAGCCCCTCAAATGGGTCCAGCACCACCTTGTACTAACTGGCTTTGGGTACAAAAGCCTTTGCCCAGTGCTATAGAGATTGCAGATAGAATAGGAGCCATCACAGGCAAGGGTGGTAGGGTCATGCAGGATAGGAGGAGAGTTTCTGGAGCCACTGCCTAAGCTGATACCCAGCCCTGTACTGGCTGTGTGTCTTTGGGCAAGTTACAAAACCTCCCTGTGCATCCATTTCCTTAGTACCTACTTCATAGGGTGTTCTGAGGAATACAGCAGAGATAATGTACATAAAGAGTTTGGTTTACCAGAAAGGTGTTGTCCCTAATCTCAAAGTCTTCATAATATCATGGGCCCAGGATTCTCATAGAGATAAATCATTACTGTAGTTTGTATAACTTCTGCTGAATAAATGTTTTCTAGACCTGACTTGGGTTATAAAGAATGAAGTGTGTATATACTGTATTTTATTTTTACCATTAAGTGAGTGTTTAAAATTTAAATTCACTGAGTCATTATCAAGGCTGGTAAAATATTATTGGTATTCAAAGAAGCCTTCTCCTGAGCTATGAGAAGGGAGAAAAAATCTCTTTGGGGGACTGAGACCCCTTATTGGAGAATGCATCACAAGACCTAACAGCATGCCTGGTGAGCGCTGAATGAGATGGCTGTCGACAGAGCTGGAAACTCTAGAGGAGGAGCGTGACTCTTTTTGGTTGAATAAAGAACAAATTTTGTTGTATGAGAAGAATCCTTACCTGAGGGTTCAGCTGACAAAGCACCCTAAAATCTCTAGGCATGGGACTTAGCTGTCACCAGGCTCGGCACAGAAATAAAAATAATGTCTGGAGAGCACTCAGCTGACTAAATGAAAACAGCAGCCATAGAACAGACAGCTGCCTAGCATCCCTCTCTAAGTCCAGCCACAGAGCTTGAGCCCAGCCAAGCAGAGCTTCCTCTGAGCTGCCTGCTCCCAGCTTTTCTGCACTTTCCTGCATGTCCTCTCACCTCTTGGCGCTCTTCAGTCTGCTCGTGGCTTCCTTATCGGCCTGATCTAGACCGACTGTGCCCTAGACATTACCCTTTTATCTCGTCTACTCAGGCTGCACCCTGGCTTGCAAATCATCCATATGCTGAAGATTCCTGACTGTCTCTCCAACATGGACACCTGCCCTGAACAGAAGACTTACTGAATCAACTGCCACTTAACATGTCCACTAAGTATCTAATAGGCACCTCTGACTTAATGTGTCTCAAAGTAAACCCTCATCTTGCTCCTGAGGTCTTCTCCATCCCAGTAAATAACCATGTCATCTTTCAATAGCTCAGGTCAAAACCTTCACTCCTTTCTGTCATTCCACTGCCAAGCCCTCAGCACATCCTGCTGCTTGCGCAATGTATTCAGAACCCAACACTTCTCACCACCTGACTGCCATCATCTGGTTCAGGCACGTCGTTCTTATTTGAATTGCTGAAAGGGCCTCCCCTGTGGTTTCCTTTCTCCTGTCCTTGGCCATCTGCAGTCTAACTCAGCACAATAGCCAGATGATACTTTCAAAACCTCAATCAGCCGTGGTTGGTTTGGCTCAGTGGATAGAGTGTCGACCTGTGGACTGAGGGGTCCTGGGTTCGATTCCAGTCGGGGGCGTGTGCCTGGGTTGCGGGCTTGATCCCCAGTGGGGGATGTGCAGGAGACAGCCAGTCCATGATTCTCTTTCATTGATGTTTCTGTCTCTCTCTACCTCTCCCTCTCTGAAATCAAAAATATAACAAACAAACAAAACCCCTAAGTCAGACAATTTAACTCCTCTGCTCAAACCTTCCCTGGCTTCTCATTGCACTTAAAAGCCAGTCTCAGAACAGTGGCCTGCAAGGCCCTGGATGAGCTGGCCTCCTACTGCTGCTCAAAGATCTGCTAATCTCATCTTTGCCCCATTCTGTCCTCTCATCCAATTTGCCAATTTGGGCCAATTTGTTAATTTGAGACAGCACCTTGGCAAGCTCCCCCTACAGGACATTTTCTCTTACTGCAGCTACTGCCTGTAATGTTCAGGTATTCATGTGACTAATGCCCTCATTGATTTATTTTTTTAGGTCTTTGCTTAAATGTCATCTTTTCAGTGAAACCTTTACTGAAATCCTCTCTGACCACCTGTTTTAAAATTGTAACTTCCCTCCTCTGGTTCTCCCCTGTCTTCTATCCCATGTAATTTTTCTCTACAGCACCTACCACTCTCTAACGCACTTTGTTCATCCTCCCTCCCTCCCCTCATGCTAGCATGTAAGCTCCATGACACCACAGGATTTGCTGCTCTTATTCACCATTGTGTCGCAGCACCTAGAATAATGAACGCTCGACTCATTCTAGGCACTCCATGAGCATTTGTTGCATAATAAAGAAACGCTTAGGCTACCTACAACTTGGGTTTTTCTTTCAGTTTTATGTCACTATTATTGTACAGTTATTAAATTTAAGTTATAAATTTACACACAAGTAAATAGTATTTAATTTATTATAGAATGAAACTTTGCTACTTGTTGCCCAAAGTGAAATCTACTCTGAAGATCCCTGAAGATAAACATCTACTTCAACAGCTAGAAATGTGCGTGAGAAAACTTCTATGTCAAGAAAAAGATAAAGATGTTCTGGCTATTGTAAAAAGAGTAAGTCTCATGCTGGCCACAACATTTGTATTTCTTGCATTAAGACAGTCTTTATTAGCCCTGGCTGGTGTGGCTCAGTGAGCTGGGCATTGTCCCGTGTACCAACAGGTTGTCAGTTTGATTCCCGGTCAGGGCACGTACCCAGGGTGGGCTCAAATCCTGGTAGGGGGTGTGTAGGGGGCACTGATGGATGTTGTGATCTCACATCACTGTTTCTCCCTCTCCCTTTCTCTCACTTTTAAAATCAATAATCTATTAAAAAAAAGGATCACCTTAATTATATCTTCACTGTTTTAGCTTGATGGGATGGCACTATGTTAAAATCTTTATATCCTTGCTAGTGTACTAAGAATTAGAAACTGATTTGGTTGATGTGTGCTACAATTGGATATGAAAGTCGGCACTCATTAGATATTATTAGTAAAGGGTGTCCCAGAATTCACGCAAGAAGTAATTTTGATAGAAAACACAGGCTTATAATTAAAAATTGTAAATTTTGTATTGATTTATAAAGTATACAGTATAAGATTATGTATGGAATAGCATATCGGGTAAATGGCCTCCACGGCTTTGCTGGCACATACGCACTCTTTTGGTGACATTTTCCATGACCGTTTTGCATAATTGTGGCTGAATTTTGATGAGGCTCATTTTCATCTTGATGGCTTGGTTAATCGACAAAATTGTCGCATTTGGGGTTCAGAAAATCCACGAGTGATTGTTGAGAAACAAATGCATCCACAACGTGTCACTGTTTGGTGCGGATTTTGGGCTGGAGGCATCATCGAACCATTCTTCGAAAATGCGGTTGCTCAGTCAATAACAGTTAATGGTGCTCGCTATCGCGACATGATAATCCAGTTTTTATGTATGCTATTCCATACATAACCTTATACTGTATACTTTATGAATTAATAAAAAATTTACAATTTTTAATTATAAACCTGTGTTTTCTATCAAAATTACTTCTTGCATGAATTTTGGGACACCCTTTAGTAATATAAGCTCCACAGGAGAGAGCTTGGCACATTTTTGGTGCTCAATAAATGCTGTTTAATGAATACCTCATTCACCAGCCTTTATTTACAAGCAATTATAATCTGGGAAAGCTTTGTTGGTAAAATGGAAGAGGCACATTTGATAGACATTTAGCCATGAAGGGGCCCTGTGCAGTAATTCAGTGTGTGTGACTTTACAGAAGGTCTAGACCTAGAGATATTAAGTGTCTGCTTAAGATCATATTAGTAAGGGACAGAAATAGGACTAGAGTATAGATCTCTTACTCCCAAGAGCATCCTTTTTTCAATAAAGTAACATTGTGTCTTATGGTTTTTGTTTTGTTTTAGTATGTGATCTTATTATAGGGATTGTTTGGGAATGTTGGAACACTAAAACAGAATTTTGATTTGTGAAGTCAAACCTTAACCCTTTGAATGCCAACCAATATCCTAGGAACTATGCTAAAATTGCCAAGGCATTTTGCTGATTTTACAGCAGTTTAGGAAAAAAATTATGAATTGCAAGTAAATGAAGTTACATATTCAAAAATCACTACAAACATTCGGCATCATAAGTAATCTGCACTTAGGTGCCATCTGTCAATAAAGAGTGAACTACTAGCATCTAATAGTGACACTGCAGGAGGAGCGCGATCGTGCTCCCTGTCACTCTAGGGGTTAAAATACTTTAGTCTTCAAGAACTCTACATGCTTGATATATAACTAATGCTAATCCTATATAATAAAAGCCTAATATGTTAAGTGTCTGACCTTTTGCTCAACCATTTGACCAGTCGCTATGACACACACTGACCATCAGGGGGCAGATGCTCCAGCCGGTAGGTTAGCTTGCTGCTGGGGTCCGGCCATTCGGGACCCCATGTCCTGGAGCCCTCCTGTGGTCCCTCCCCAGTCCCAATCGTGCACCGGTAGGGTCCTTTGGCATGGCCTGCACCCTATCACAATCCGGGACCTCTCGGGGGATGTCAGAGAGCTGGTTTCAGTCCAGTCCCCACAGGCCAGGCCAAGGGACCCCACCAGTGCACGAATCCGTGTACCAGGCCTCTAGTGTTTTTATAAGATTAAGTCAAATTAAAGTGATTAGTTTTTGCCCTAGCTGGTTTGGTTCTGGATAGAGCTTCGGCCCAGGACTGAAGGGTCATGGGTTCAATTCTGGTCAAGGGCACATACCTCAGTCAATCCATGTGTCTGTCGAATCAATGTTTCTCTGTCTCTCCCTTTCCTTCCTCTTGCTCTAAAAAATCAATGGAAAAATAGCCTCGGGTGAGGATTAACAACAACAAAACAGTGGTTGCTTTTATGAATCTGAATGTGAACTTCAGGACACATAGTTTTTGAGAATTTATTTGTAGTGAGAGAAATTAATTTATTAATATCTTAAATAATGGCATTGATTTGAGAAAAAGAAGAATTCTTTGTCTGTGATTTTTTTTCCCTAGAAATAATTTCCAGTGTCACATGAGGAACTTTTTAATGAAGTGACTTGATAACTTTGTATTAATTAGTATAATTTTATTTTACTGAGATGTGAATTCCTCTTCATCAACTGAAATATCCAGAAATAGCCAGCACCTGGACATGCATCTAAATTTAAACACACACACACTTACACTTGTTTCTATCAGATATTTCTGACCTTGCTATTTAATTACAGAAGTTTAGGCAATGAAGTTAACATGCCAAAATAGTACATGAGAGGGTTAGCTACTTTTCTGAAAGAATCTGTTAGCTTAAGATAATATAAATTAACCCCATAAATAGGTACAGAAATGATATAATTAAATCAATGGATTATTCTGGAATACTTCTCTTATTTTGAGTATGAACTCAATCTTTCCCATCAAAATTCTGTAGTACAATGTTATCATACTGAGGTGTTGGTATGGGAACCTTTGAGAGAAGCTACACAAAGCTTCCGGATAAACATGGAATAGCTGACTCTTGTCAGTTTTTTAAAATGGGAAATAACTTTATTTAAAAGATATTTCATGGGATAAATTTTCAAAGTTTTATAAATTTCAGCATAAAAATAAAATTTTAAATATATCTTTGCAATGAATAGCATTGGCTTATGAAAGTGTAGATGTACTTTATTTTGGCCACTAGAGAGAAGTACTCTACTCTGTCAGAGACAGAGCCGTGGGGTAGATGGATCATTGTTAGATTGAAATAGTTGGTGTCAGACTAATATATTCTGAAAGACAAATATTACATTGAGAGAATGCTTTCAAAATAAAGTCTTTTCTATTGGTTAGAGTGTCATATTGACAAAAAGTTTATGTGGGAAGGAAAGGAATTAAGAATTTTAAGCCAAAGGATAGATTACTTCATATATATTTAGCTAAAAGGTTTTTATAAAGTTCAGAAATTATACTGTATTTCTGAAAATTCAGAAGAGTGGCACTGAGAATTATTAGAAATTAGTTAAATTGCATATGTTTAGTATTTAAAATATTCCTCTAGACTTGCTCTTCTTTTATTTTTTCAAAAAAATATTTTTATTGATTTCAGAGAGGAAGGGAGAGGGAGAAGGAGAGATAGAAACATCAATGATGAGAGAGAATCGTTGATTGGCTGCCTCCTACACACCCCACACTGGGGAATCGATCCTGAAACCCCGGCATCTGCCCTGACCAGGAATTGAACTGTGACCTCCTGGTTTATAGGTCGGCACTCAACCACTGAACCACACCGGCCAGGCGTAGACTTGCTCTCCTTAAAGTAAAAAACTTTAAAAGTTTAAATAGAGCCTGGCATTACAAATATAGAGATTGATGGAAAATAAAAAATACAATGTAGAATTGGGAAGAACTTCAAAAGGTTTCTAACTTAACCTTATACATCGTGTAGAAGTCTCCTATTTGAAACTCCCTCTGGAAAGAGTCTTTTTGTGAAATGATGGTTGATTTTATTACTGTTGAATATTTTAAAAACTTTCTTTACAGACTGTGTTAGAGTTGGACAGAATGGAAATGTCTATGGATGCTGTAAGTACACTCTCTTGCTTTTATTCTTAAAAGTTGACATACACTCATCATTAATGTTCCACAGTTTCATTTTAAACTTAAACTTAGTTTCAGAACAAGTTTTATGAGAAAGATTTGTTGGATCAAGAGAAAGAAAGAGAGGAACTGCTTCTTTTGGAAATGGTATGTTATTTTCACATGCACACACACGTATTTTTTTCTGACCAATATTAAATATGCTTTGTTATTAAACCTATTAAATAATTTCTTTCAATTTTACACTACTCTTTTTCTTCCTAAATCACTAAAAAGTCCTGATCTTTTTTTTTTTTTTTTTTTTTATCCTCACTGGAGGATATTTTTTCCATTGATTACTAGAGAGAGAGAGTGGAAGTAAGGGAGGAGGGGAGAAAGAGAGAAACATCAACATGAGAGAGACACATTAATTAGTTGCCTCTGGCATTTGCCCCTACCGGGGCCAGGGAACCTGCAACCACAACTGAGGTATGTGCCCTTGACTGGAAGTTGAACCCACAGCCCTTTGGTCTGTGGGCTGATGCTCTAACCACTGAGAAAACCAGCCAGGGCAAGAGTCCTGATCTTTTGATATCTGTTATTTTATGAACTATAAGGAAAATGATATTTGAAAGGCTTTAAAAACTATTTTATTTAAGTATTATTGACATACAATTAACTGCATATATTTTAGGTGTACGATTTGAGGAATTTTAACATGGGCATATCTATGAAACCATCACCACAATCAAAGCACCAAACATTTTCATTCCCTTAAAGGTTTCTGCATGGCCCTTTATGATTCATATCTTTTACTCCAGACTCCGGAAAGCATTACTCTAGTTTCTGTCACTACAAATTAGTTTGCAACAAGAATTTATATAAATTTAATAATATGTATGTGATTTTTTGTCATGCTTTTTCCAGCATCATAATTTATTTTTATATGAAGTTTAGGATCAGTTCGTTCATTTCTATAAAAAGCCTGCTAGAATTTTTGTGAGGATTATGTTAGGATTGATCTACAGATCAATTTGGAGAATGGCCATCTTAACATGAGTCTTCCTAATTCATGTACTATGTCTACCCCTCCATTTATTTAGCCTCCTTTACTTTTTATAAGTTTTATTTTATTGTTTAAAGTATTACATATAGTATTATAAATGTCGCCTTTTCCCCCATTGACCTCCCCGCCCCTCCCCCCCCACCGTCCCCAATCCCTAGCCTCCTTTACTTTTTCTCATAGCAGGGGTCCTCAAACTACGGCCCGGCCCGCGGGCCACATGCAAATACAAATATTGTATTTGTTCCGTTTTGTTTTTTTACTTCAAAATAAGATATGTGCAGTGTGCATAGGAATTTGTTCATAGTTTTTTTTTAAACTATAGTCCGGCCCTCCAACGGTCTGAGGGACAGTGAACTGGCCCCCTGTTTAAAAAGTTTGAGGACTGTCTCATAGTGTTAAGTGTAGCATTCAAGGAAGTCTTTTGTTAGATTTATTTCTAAGTATATTATGTTTTTGGTATCATTATAAATGGAATTAAAATTTTTAATTTCACTTTCTAGTTCAGGATTAAGACTAAGAGAGCTCTAATATTTTTTAGGACTGAATCATTTATGCCTAAGAGAAAAATCAGGCAATAGAAAAAGACCCATAGATGATCCTGATACTGGAGTTAGCAGACAAGGACTTCAGGATAACTATGATTACTATGATCAAGATAATAGAGGAAAAGATAGAGAACATAGATAACACTACTGTTGGCAGATAACTCAATGATATTTTATTTTTCAGTTTTATATTTTTATTTTCAGTTTTAGAATTTTCATTTGGTTCTTTTCATGCAGTCCAATTCTATATGGAGATTTTTTTGTTGTTGTTAATCCTCAACCGTGGATTTTTTTTTCCATTAATTTTTAAACAGTGGAAGGGAGGGAGGGAGAGAGGGGAGAGAGGCGAGAAAGGGATGGAGGAGAGAGAGACAGAGAGACAGAGAGACAGACAGACACAGACAGACAGATATGATGTGAGAAAGACACATTGCTTGGTTGCCTCCCTCACATGCCCTGAATGAGGCCGGGTATTGAACCTGCAACCCAGGTATGTGCCCTTGACCAGGAATTGAACCCACAACCCTTCGGTGTGTGCTGGACTTTCCAAACACGAAGCCACACCAGCCAGGGCTGTGTGGACATTTTTATCTTGTCTCTTTTCTTACCTTTTTCATTATTTCACAGGTGCACAGGAAAAGAATGTGTGTTCTCCAGTTGTTGAGTGTGGTGTTCTATATATATAGTTTGTTCAGAACTTGACATGCTTGTTGATTTTCTTGCCTACTTATTCTATTGGGATAAGGGACGCGAGTTTTGGTAATGTTTTATATCTTGATCTGTGAGTTGCTATGGCTATATAGGTATGTTCATTTTGGGAAAATTTATTGAGCTGTACTCTTATAATTTGTGTACTTTCTCTATGTATATTATACTTCAATAAGACATCTTTTAACATGTCCCAAAGACCATTTCCTTTCTTCTCAGTCTTTTTAAAGAAAAACATTTTGCTTTGCCCGGTGGCTCAGTGGTTGAGCATCAGCCCATGAACCACGAAGTCACTGGTTCGATTCCCAGTCAGGGCACATGCCTGAGTTGTGGGCTTGGGGTGTGCAGGAGGCAGCCAGCCAATTGATGTTTCTATCTCTCTATCACTCTCCCTTCTCCTCTCTCTAAAATAAATAAAAACATATTTGAAAAAAACCCAAAAAGCACTATTTTGCTATCTACCAATAAGAAATGGAAATGACTAATAGTAACAAATATTTTGCTAATGAGAATCAGTAAATACATCTTAGAAAATAAAGGCTCATTCCCATAATGTCACTAAACTCCTTGTTTTAGCTTAACAAGTCCCCAAAAGCACAATTCTGGAGAGGTAAGAAAACACACAAAACACAAATCTGAAAGAAACTGGAGACACTAATTTGGGAAAAAAATTACTTTTTAAAGGAATTTTTATAAACAGTATTTGTATGTCTGGAACTTAGAGTAATTTCTCATTAGAACATTTTCTAGATCTGTGCTTACCTTTAATGCTCACATACTATTTTAATAATAGGAACAATTAGAGAAAGAGAAGCAACAAGAGGGGAGGCCCGTGAATGAAAAAACCTTTGAAAAGAAACGTAAGTTGTTTTCTTATGTCTTCATCACTAAATCACACGATTAATGTTTCATCCTGGCATTCTGAAAGACCATGTTGAGTTACTAATTTTATTTGGAAAATTGCTTTTAATTTTAAAAGTAGTTTTAAAAAACTGGCTGCTTAATGTTGTATGGATGTTAAGAATACATGAATAAGTGATGGGGATCAGTGTGGAGCTTCAGATCCTTCAAAGGAAAGTGATAGCAGCAATAAGAATGTGAAATTAGCCGAAACCGGTTTGGCTCAGTGGATAGAGTGTCGGCCTGCGGACTGAAAGGTCCCAGGTTCGATTCCGGTCAAGGGCATGTACCTGGGTTGCGGGCACATCCCCAGTAGGAGATGTGCAGGAGGCAGCTGATCGATGTTCCTCTCTCATCGATGTTTCTAACTCTCTATCTCTCTCACTTCCTCTCTGTAAAAAATCAATAAAATATATTAAAAAAAAAAAAAGAATGTGAAATTAATCACTGAATAACTAAGATCGAAATGTGTAAATATGCAGAGTAAGACTATGTGGGAAAGAATGCTGCTTAGCAAGGGATAGTGTTTCATTTTTTCTGTGTTGTCTTTATGTTTGTGGAGATTAATAAGAACCCAGAGGGCATGACAGCACTCAAAGCAGAGTTTATTTTAGGCAGAGACATCAAGACACCAACAGCTCTGCCCAAGAGCATCCCCATTGCTGTTCCTGGGCCCTCTTCCAGCACCCCATCAGCAAGTAAGAGACAGCCTCTTATGCCTCCTGTTCCTTTTATAAACAGTAATTATAGGGCCAGTCACTCTCTTAGATGAGATACATTGTGCTAAAGCACCGTTTTCCTTTCAGTGTTTGTGTTGGTAGTTCTTATTGGACAGTTGGGATAAAGATAGCTCAATAGCTCAAAGGAAGGAAAGGAAGCTAGCCCATCTGTGTTTACTGAGAACGGTGGGAGTGGGAGAGGGAACGGGCGTGGAGCATCTAAAGGTGAAGTGAACAATTACTTTTTTCTTCTGCTTGTTACTCTAGGCAAGGAAATCAAGAAATCCAAATTGATTCGAAGCCAGTCTATTAATAATCAAGCTTTTCATGCAAAATATGGCAACTTAGACAAGTGTGCTAGGTATGATCTGTCAGTTCTTCATGTTTGAATTTTTATTTTATAGTCACATCTTATTATATGTGAAATATTTATATTACTATAAAAATTAGCACTAATTTTGAGTTTTCTATAGGTAAATAATTTTTTTTCTTCTGTAAAGACTGTTAAAAAAAATAGTAGTCTACCAATTTGCATAAAAATATGTACTGGTATTCTGGGAAGACTACAGCCATGACAATATATAATGCCTTGCCCTGGCCAGTTAGTTCAGTGGTTAGCATCAGTCTACGCACTGAAGAGTTGAGGGTTCAATTCCCGGTCAAGGGCACATAATTATTGTGAGGCATGAAATAGAAAGAATAAATGAGAAATAGAAGTAACAAGCATGCTTCATAGGAAATAGGGGAAAGCATTTAAAAAAAGAAGATTTAAAAAGACCAAACGCTGGATGAATGGGATTGAAATAAACATGTTCTTGCATTTGAAACGTAATTATGTTCTTTTCCAGTAAAACTTCTACAGCAGCATATACACCTTCTGCCTCAGGGTTAGCAAAGACTTCTATGATTTCACTAACTGGTAAGCAGAAATCTGAGCTCCTCAAAGCATTGCTAAATTCAATGAAATATGATTTTCCTTAGATAATTTTTTTATTTCTAGATACAGTGTTTTTTCTAAGTTTGTATCTTTATCAAATACCTATGAATTTTTTTTTCTAGCAATTGAGAAAATACTTGACTATACTATTTTGTTCTCACTGTATCAAGACTTAAGAGTTCTTTTAAAAGAGAAACAGGACAAAATGATAGGATAGGTTTTGCCACGGTCTGAGGACCCGCTGGAGGCAGAGAGTAAAATTTTTTGTAGTAATTAACTTAGTTAAAACACTAGGGCTTTCCTATAGATAATATACAGCTAAACATTTGCAATAGTATATCTTTGAAACTTTATACCAGGGGTCAGAAAACTTTTTCTGTTAGGAGGCCAGAGAGTCAATAGTTAGGCATAAGAGGCAAACTGGTTTCTGTCACGAGGACTCAACTGTGCCCTTGTGGGTAAAAGTAGCCATAGATGGCACATGAATGGGTGGCTGTGTCCCACCAAGACTGCGCACAGTGAGAGCTCCTCTCAGCGAAGAGCTCACAGTGTCGAGTGCGCGGGGACGTGGGCAGCGCTCCAGCCGCTCAGACACTGCTGGGGGCAGCCAGAGGGTGCAGTTCCTTCGGACAACACCTTCCTGTGTGACCCAGCAATTCCACTCCTAGGCTTTGACTGAAGAGAAATCAACACCTACATCTCCACACAGATTTGTACATGGTACATGATGGTTTAAAGCAGCTTTATTCATCATAGTCAAAACTGGGGGGAATCCAAATGTCTAGCAATAGGAGAATGGATAAGCAAACTTTGACATATCCATACAATGGAATACCAGTCAGCTATAAAAAGGAATGAAGAATCGATATACGTAACAACATGGATGAACCCCAACATAATTATGCTGAGTGAGAGGGGCTAGACACAAAAAGGACACACATCTGATTCCATTTATATAAAATTCAGAAACTGCAAACAAATCCCTAATGACAGGAGGCAGAGGGAGTGGGGAACAGAGGGAGCGATTACAGGGGGCAGGAAGAAACATTTGGTAGTGATGCAGCTTATTATATATAAACTGTACTCTAATAAATTGATTTTAAAAGAAAAAATGTCCACTACCAGTAAGCTTTCTTCTCCTAGGTTCCCATCTTAGTAAATGGAATATGTCTGACTATGCATGTGTTCCTTTCAGATGACTCATTCCGGACTCGTAATGCCACTAGTCTTCCTCCGTCCTTTTCTCCTAACACTCCCCTCCCCAGCACCTCCCGTGGGACAGGTAACTCAGTTGATCCAAAGAGCAGTGGAGGTAAAGATCTGCCACCACGTAAGGCCACCTTGTAAGTAATCAGCGATGTACTGCTAAGTGTGTCATCCTCCTTTTTCTCAGTGCACTTTCCTTCCCAATTTCCAAAGAACAGAAACTGTAACAAGGAAATGTTCTAAATTAAAAGGGATTCTTAGCACACGTGCCTCTGTTATGTTGATACTTTATATAAAATGATCTGTCTATGGCAAAGACACGGCAACGTAAGGAAATCAACAAGAGACTTTAAATGGCTCCCACTAATATCTGAGATTTTAAAAATTTTCTGTGAAATGTTTGCCTTCAGGGACTTTATTCAAGAAGACACTGGTGTAATTGCATCCCTTTGAATGGCTAGTGTAAGCGGACAGTGTTTCATGGCCCAGAGCTCAGAAAGATGGGCCCTGCTGCTACTTAAGCAATCTGCCTGCAGCATGGAGTCCAGAGTGTGGGTCAGCATGTAGGAGAGTCCTGTCCACTGTACTTGTCCTTAACATTGAGGTTATAAAGGCCTGTCTCCTCCTTTCCCCCAGGGTTACTTTTATGTGCTGTTAATGTCTGTGTGAATCACTGAAGCCTTTGTTTCTGTTAGTTTAAACGTGGAAGAGGGTTGCCCCATAAGAACCATCCTGATGACAGACAGGTCATGTCACGTGGATGTGATTCGTCCAGGCTGCCCCAACTCTACTCACAGGTTTACTCTTTCCTACAGGACACCCGAATCTTCTGATTAAATCAGAATTTAAATAGCATCCAGATGTCCTTTTAGACATATGTCACTGAATTCATGAATATTCTAATAAAGTTTCTGACATCCATCTTTTATTGGGAACTCCATGCTTTTAGGAACTGAACTATATTGTCACTTACTCTAAATTTCTAATTGCCCACCGGTATATATAAATATAGGTGTATGTAAGATTCATTCAAATTTATGGAAAGGAGCTCAAGGAAAGAGTAGGATCATGTATCATAGAAAAAAGTAATAGGAAACAGAAAAAAATGATATTGAGATTACAAATTAGTAACGTTAATATAGAGGATAGTTTTATTTACAGAGAATGCTCTTTGGAACAGTTGCTCTAATGATTATACTGTGGTTGATCCATTTAAAAGTCATGAGGACTGAGCCAGAAGAGGGTCATGTCTGCAGAGAGCACGGAGCTGGAGCCTGTGCCCGCTCCAGGGCCGCTAAGCAGCTGTGGACGTTCCGCTCAGTGCTCTGGGCCTCATGTCTCGTCGGTAAAATGACAGGGTTGCCTCTGGTTTACCTGCCACGGTGCCTTCCTTTTCTGGCCTCCTGTGATCCGTCCGCTCGATCACTCTTGACCTTCTTCCTCTCAAAGATCGCCCAGAATTCTTCTAGTGAAGAACACAATTACATCAGCATATAATTCATTCTCTTCTCAACTTATTTTTCTAAATGCCACAGGCATTTTTAAAAAAGTAAAGACCACTGAAACTTTATATCAACTCTCCTTTATTTCAGATTACTTTTTTTTTTATCTGTTCTTTCATTGTTGAGCATGTTTTTCCTATTCATAGACTGAATTTTCTCCTGCTCAATATATAAAGTATAATTACATTAATTATATAATCAATTATATATGTAATTGTTTAAAAAAATGAATCTAGAAACAAACACTCTGCTAACAAATCACATCGTTTGTTTCTCCTGCTCTGAATGTTCTGAGGGAGGAGGAATATTGGTATCACAGCTGCTTTTTTAACGTGTGACTGGATCTACGAGTCCATAACCGTACCTCCAGCTAATGCGCTGCTCATTTGGACTTTCTCACGAATGCACACTGCCCATAACCGGACCAGGGTCCATGTGGTTATGTTTCCTTATGCTTCTGTGAAGTATTACCTATAGTTCCGCACCATGTTATGTCCCAATGGAACATATCCTTTATACTTAAAATAAGCCTAGGAAATAATTTCACAATATATTAATATCTGTTTTTCCTGCTCAACAAAATTTTATACAATACCTTCTCCAACTTTTTAGTATCACACAGATGACACAGTCTGGTAGTTAGGAATATAGATGTCTTAAAGGATGTATGGGAATGCATTGTATCTTAAATCTTTTAAAGCCAGATAATTGATATACTAGTATTTAAGCTGAATTTCTGTTATGGTTATATGAAAAAAAATGTAAGGAAAGTTGTATGAACTGAATTGAATGCTATTTTAGGGGCATACAGGATTTGGTAATTAAAGGTAATTCCAAGTAATAGCTAATATGCAATTTATTTTTCACTAACTCAGAATTCTCATAGTAGATTCTATCTATATTTATTTACTTTTAAAGCATTATATGGATACAATTTTTCATGTTTTGTTTTCTCCTTTCTTCTCTCTTTCCCTTTCCTTTCTTCCTCCCTCACCTTTCCCTCCTTCTATCTTCTCTCCCCGTCCTCTTTCTTTTCCTCCCCCCTCTCTTTTTCTCATCCTTTTTGACAAAGAAAATCCAGAAAATCCAATCCTTAAATCATCTGCTTGATGAAGGAGGCAAAACAAAGACACCTGGAGATAATGTGATTGATGGACAAAAGCTAAAGCAATGGCTGGGGCTCCTATTTTTTTTTTTTAAATTAATGGAAAGAGATACATTAGGGCAGCTGATGTTGCTAAAAGCCCCATATTTGAAATTAGATTCCGTAGGAGGCATAATATATATATTTCTTAAATAATAATGTGGTTGCAGAATTCCAATGTTACAGTGAAGTGTAATGAAAAACAACTTTAGTATGTGCTTTAACAACTGCTGCAGAAGAGACACGGCTGAATCTATTTGTGCAGGAAACCATCTGTTTACTTGTTCTAGAGCTTTAGCATTTAAACCTGTATGAAAGCCCACATCCACTGCAAATGCCCTGCTAGAGAATCATTTTGGAGGGGCCTGGGAGTCAATTAGGAAGACATTGTTTCTCACGAATCTCCAAGCCCAACAACCACACTGAAAAGGGTACAAACAGCAGTCCACTATGTTATCAGTCTGATTGTGGTGACCATGTGGTGTACCCGGATATTCTGAAACTTAAATTTGGCAATGGAAATTCCACAAAGATTTCTCATAACTTTTAGCCACAATTACCTTAAAAATAATAGATTCATGATTTCCTTTATTTCCTAGAAAATTTTATTTTATACTTTGTTTACATTTTAGATTGTATTTGTCCTTAATTAAAAATGATGAATCTAGTTTGAATCAGCTGTTACTCTGAGCTATCATGCTTATGCTATGTCAACAGCCTTTATTTATACTAATGCTAATATTTCCATCACAGTTTGCCTGTAGAACATGTATGATTATTAACTTTAAAATGTCAGATCTTGAGATATACTGTATGAAGCTATTGTCAGCTTCTCTATTACAAAATGCAATCAGCATATAACTATACTGATATTAGAAAATCTTTGTTTTTTAAAATATATTGATGTATGATAAAGATGATCTAATTTGTGAATGCATATGCGTGTGTGGTTACTTTTTATAATGTGAAATAATGAATAGTGAATTTACTTAAAATAAAGCATAGGTTAATGAGATGCCTGTGTTTGTGAAAAAAGTTTTAAATACTTTTTTGCAATTTTTATTCTCTAATGAAAGAGTAAGACAGTTCACTTTTAAGTGATGAGTAACAGAAGCACGCTGACCTCAACTGTAAGTGACTCAGGAACAGCTACTCGTGTGAAACTTTCACTCAGTTTCTCTCCATCTTTCCTTACAATTGGCTCTTGTTGGCTATTTTTATGATCCTTAATGTCTTTCATTTAAGGATAGGTTAATGGAATTGTTCAACCCATTTGTCAGTATTTAAAAATTGAGTAGGTTCGAGAAGCTTGACCATGTGGCTAATTTAGTACTTCCCTTATGGATTTCATTGAACTATTTTAATGATGTCTCCGACCAGCATCACTGACATGCACTTTAACACACTGTGATCTGGGAGAGTTTGTGGTGCGTGAGTGGGACATCAGAGTGACAGCAGTTCCCCAGCACTGTGATTCATAATCAGCATGGACTCTGTCACTTTAAATAAAATGGAGAATTCCAGTTTGTTTGTTCACTAATACATTTAGCAGAGTTAGGAACCTTTATTTCCTTTACGCGTGTGAGAGAAGAAGAGAGCGACTCTATAGAGAAAAGTCACTACAGCTCCTACAATCCAGGGGTGTATAGAGGTCAGTGCAGTCTCACTGCAAGGCACTGAGCAATCAAGTCACACAGTCAATCAAAATTATGTCAGAAGTTTCCTTTCCTTTTTTAGAACATGATCATTTCTAAAAGTGTTGACATATTTTTTAAAATTATATATATTTCTAAAACCAGATATATAAAATCAGAGTAAAACACAAATTGCTGACAGTTACGACCATCCACACATAGATTCACACCGAAACGAGACTGATACTCTTGTAAAAGTCCTTGGCGTAGCAACTTATCAGACAGTTCCTTCAAACTAGCTGTGGGAAAGAAAGATCTCCTCCACCTAACTGCAGAGAAGGAGGGACATCACCGTCAGCTGTTTGTTAATTATCGAAACTTGCATTTTAAGGACAGGTTCTAGCACAGTGGTTCTCAACCTTCTGGCCCTTTAAATACAGTTCCTCATGTGGTGACCCAACCATAACATTATTTTCGTGGCTACTTCATCACTGTCCTGTTGTTACTGTTATGAATCGTCATGTAAATATCTGATATGCAGGATGGTCTTAGGCGACCCCTGTGAAAGGGTCGTTCGACCGCCAAAGGGGTCACGACCCACAGGTTGAGAATCGCTGTTCTGGAATTTCACAGGTCAGCACTGCAAACAAAAACAGACCTGGAGAGCTCAATTTTACTGACAGAAATGGAGACAGGGCTTAAATGGATTTTACTTCATAGCGGTAGAATAAGGGGCATATACATATTCTTCCACAACCTCATACGCATCTGAAAATCATTTCCATTATTTGACTTCCTGAGCTCAGACCCCTTCCTCTGGAAGGGACAGCTCAATTCTGCCTTGTGGTTAGTAGGCAAACATGAAATATTTGAACTGAAATGAATAGGCAATTCAGCTTGAGGAGGAGTTCACAGCGAAGATAAACGAATGAGATTAATTCAGTACTCTGTTCTCATTATTGTAGCCTGTGTGAGAGAGAGACTGTGGGTATGTTGGCGTCTGTAGGAGCAGTGTTAGAAACCTGACACTTAACATTGTTGTAATGTTCAGGTTCTCCCCTCAGTTGAAAACTTGAATTTTTTGTGTCATTGGCTGCACTTCTCACTGGTCTGCCTCAGAGAGCCACGTGCAGTGACAGTCGTGACGCCGCTTCGTTTGCAGTGCTCGTGGGGAGGCGAGGGCGTCTGCTCTGCGCGTTACAGGAGCCCTTCAGTAGCAGCGAGCCTGTCCATGACTGGCTTTGGCCATTATTTCTGTTAGAGAATATTATGTTTTCATAGGCTCCCCCCCAAGCTTCATCTCTAAAAGCAGGTAATTTGATTGACCCCTCTTTTATGTCTCTTTCTAGTATCTTCCCACAAATAAACCTGGTTAACTGAATACTAACAGGTCACTGAGGAAGGCCAGGTGGAGTTGGTCCTCTATTTTGTGTCTCTCTTTCTAGGCCCTGGAATTGCCCTGCCCTTACCAACTGTCACGTGGTGCCCTTGGAAGGAGTACACAGTGAATCCATGTCCAGATTTTAGAATGATGAAAAGTCAATCTTCAAACTGTAGCCTAATATTACTACGTGTTCACATTAATATGACACACAATACTCTGATTTAAATTAATAGTTAAGATGACTAATCAAAAAATTAATTTTAGGTATAAAATCGATAGCAAACAGATAGAAATCCAATTAGGCATTTAATTAACACAGTTGACACTCCAAGATGAGTTAGCCCTCGTCACGAGTCTCAGAATTTACTCCTAAAATACTTTCTTGTCTCTGTAACAGAAAGTGACCGCTTAAGAGCGTCGGGGATTTGCTGTTTTCCTGTTAGCCTCGGCGCGGGCCAGGCTTCTCTTCGTTTAAGCGCAGCGGCTGACTGAGCAGCGAGCCCACGCGGCCTGTCCCGCTGGACCTCACCGGGCGGTTTAGGTGGAAAGAAGGAAAAGAGAAATAGGCGTGGGGCCACTGGGTAACCGTGGCAAGCATTTGCTTTTCTCTGCCACGTCCTGCGACACATCCATTAGGTGCAGTAAGCACAGTGCCTAAGGCCCAGGATACCTTTTGGGGCTCATGAATGTTTTACTTTTTGCAATCAGCAAGTTACATACTTTACCTGCATTGGTATAAAGACAAACAGTGCATAATGTATTCATTATTATACCAATGCCGTCATAAAATCAAATTTTTAATATGCATATCTATTTTTTTATGTCAGAAAGACCCAAGAGTGCCTGGGGCCCTTGAAAGTCATAATGTGACCTGTGTCTGGTTCCCCATCCCCGTCCTTTGTAAAATGAAGGTATTGAACGGGGTGGTCTGCGGCTCAGCGAATGCCTCTGCCAAGTGATGTGCTGCATCTCTCACCTGCCTGGAGGAAATGGCCGCACTGATCAGACGCTGGGGTCAGGACAGGTTAATATATTTGTATTGATTTCAGAGAGGAAGGGAGAGGGATAGAAACATCAACAATGAGAGAGAATCACTGACTGGCTGCCTCCTGCATACCCTTACTGGGGATGAGCCCGCAACCCGGGCATGTGCCCTGACCGGGAATCAAACCATGACCTCCTGGTTCATAGGTTGATATTCAACCATTGAGCCACAGGGCTGGGCTGTTTTTCTAATTTTAGTCAGCAAGAAATGGTTCTACAGCAGATGACAAGAAAATGCTTATTTTGCACCAGAGGGAAGTAGAGAGTGAAGCACGTGACTCATGGAGAATGTGTCTGTGTCTTCCTCCCAAAGGCTCATCTGGAGAGTGTCCAGGTATGTGAGTAACAGGAGGGCAAAGGCATTCCACCAAGCTCGCTTTGGTCAGCAGCAAAGGCTCTTAGTCGCAGCTGCACATACCGAACGGGTTGTGCAAACCTCACCTGAAAATAAGTTTGACTTGAACACTCGGATTTCTCTAAGAGTGGCTCAAACAGCAGCAGACAGGAGCCATCCTTCCTGCCACCCAGCACCAGTGCCTGCGCGGGTGCCCGTACCTCAGGCAGGCCGGCATCCGCTGGGCACCGCGTCCTCGTGCTTGTCGTCAATCACAGGAGGGCGGGGTTTACCACCCTGCCCAGAAATAGGGGCACCCTCCAGGTTTCTTCATAGATCAGGAAATGAAACGGCCGGTTCACTTTGATGATGGGAGGCATGGAATAAGCTACAATTTCCGACAGGGTTCCTGCCACTGCCTCGGTTCCTTTTTCATCCACCTCAATCACTGCTCTTTGTAGAACCTGGAAAAGGAAGTCATGTGGAAGACCGTGTGGGTGGCAGTCAGGAGGGAACTGAGCCCCTCGACAGCTTTTGCTGTGGTCCTACCTACAGGGCCATGCTCCTGGGAATGAGTGGGATGGGGCTCCTCTGTGCTGAGGGGAGGCATCTGAGGTTGCCCAGGGACTTGCCTTAGAAGCTCAAATACCAGGAGACACCAGGACCCCACATGGGAAACACTGGCCGACCCCTGCACGCATGTGTCAGATCAGCGCGGCCTCTGTGCTGCTGATCCTTGGGCACAGCTGGTGCTCCTCGGGAAGGTGCTCACGCTGCCTGGAGCCCCGAACACTCTGGCCTTCCCTCTGGCGGGCCAGCCGGGTGAGGGGTGTGGCTAGTCTGTGGCAGCTTCCCAGCACCTGGTGCGGCTCTGAGTCCTGGGCAAGTGCTGGGGTCCCTGAGGACTTCCTGGACTCTGGTTGCCTGTACTCAGGCCACCTGTCCTGGCTGGGAGGCCCTTTTGTCCAGGCACCTCATGTTAAGCGGGTGATGGACGAACCTAATTATTATAAGAGATAGAGGAAGCATCAGTGTAGTAGCTCCTGGGGGTTCCCTAATGTCCTGGAGTGGAAGTTCTCCTCCAGGAGCAAACAGAGGGAGGACAGTTAGTGGTTTGCCACTTAAACTATAAAGAGCACACGGTGTCACCATGCCGTGTCTGCAGCAGAAAGCCTTACAGGTGCTGGTCTGCGGGGCTGTCCTGTTTATTCCTCTCATCTCCCGAGACGAAGGCCTGGCTGTAGGCCTGCTCACCCTGCTGAATCCTGCTCAGGGGGCTGCCATTTTAAATCTCCCTTGGAAGGAGAAAATGGGAAAATAGTAGTCAAACCCCTCAGCTAAGGAGGAGCAGGGGAAGATATAGCTGCCGCTTGGAAATGTCAGAACATTTTCTCAGTCGTAATAATGAGGGGGTTACTGTTGGCGTCAGTGAGCGGCCAGGAGTGGTAGGCAGCTCCCTGCAATGTCCTGGGCTGCTCCGACCACAGGTAACAGGCCTGGCTCCCCTTGAAACCAGCAGGTTCCCACTGAGACAGCAGATGAGCTGATGGGATTCCTTGTGGGAGGTGACTAATCTTTAGAGGCAGAACAAGGGCCCAAGAGTATGAGTTAGTGGGGGTATAGGGAAAAAACACCCCAAAGCCATATATATGAAAACAAAACAATTACAATTTTGACCATTTGTGGATTGAGTTGCTTTTCAAAGTGTTGCTTCCCTGTCACTGGAAGCATTACAAAGAAGAGAGGGAGGGAGGAGAAGAAAGGGAGGGAAGAAGGAAGGAAAGAGGGCAGGAAAACTGGAGGATAATGTGTAGGGATATTACAGAGGGGGTTCCAACAAGGGTGGGAAGTTGGGCAGGTAGCTTCTGGGGGTTTCTTTCACCTTGAGAGTGGTGTGACTTCATGACATTTTAAATGAACCCATGAATGAGTTCCTTGTCAGGGGTACACTTCTTGAGTGCTTGTGAGAGGAGGGGGAGAGCTCTCCATAAGAGAAATTAATGTTTTAATAAAGTAGCTCAAAATTCTTAAAACATCCAACTCGGGTGCTATTTCAAGCCCTCGGAATTTAAATCTAAGCTTCTACTACAACTTGGAATTTTATCAACATTAAAATCATCTGCAAAAACGTGTTGGTTTTGGTCCGACTTCATCCTCGGGGTTGGGGTCCGCACGAGAGACTGGCTTACCTGAGACACTTTCAGGTTTCTCGCCATGGCCGACAGCTCGCCCAGGTTGGCCCAGGGTGAGAAGATTCTCGTGACTCTCATCTGCTTAAGCAGCTCATGCATCTCATACTTCTGATCCAACTTGAACTTCGGGAAGAAAACTTCCATGTGTCTGTGGTACAAGCAGATGTAACAGGGAAACGGAGACAGAGCCATAGGCTGCAGGCTACAAAGGTCACTCTCTCCAGGATCATTCCCATTAATGGGGCGCTCACTGGACAGAGCTCGTGCCATTCTTTTGTGATGCTCTGGCTCGGGGGAAACTGCTCTGGCTCATTAGATATGTAACTTCAGCTTCACCCAACGGGTTTATCTCCCAGCCAGTGACTCACGGTCTCATTAGCAAAGGACACTGCATTTTGCATCCCTTTCCCTATGTCTTAAAAACAGCCCAAAGCAAGGAACTCCTTGCAGCAGTTCTTTGCTTGCAGCAATCCTGCAGGCCCCAGGCTGGCGCTGCAGCCACAGTCTGCAGCCGGAGGTGTTCCAGAGTCTTAGGAGTCGGGATGGACAGCAGGAGGGAGTGAAGGGGGTCCCCCCCAACCCCCCGAGGCAGACATGCTGATATTCTGTTTTGTATGCACTGGATTTCTCTGAAATTTGTGTTTAAAAAGATGAGTTCTGTGGCTCAAAAATAAGAAGCATGAAAACAAATAATTGACACTAGATTCATCTTTTTAAAGAAGTCTCAATTTCTTAATTTATGAGGTGTAGCCCCAAACAGCAGTACCAGTTTCCTAGGTCACTCAGAGCGTTGCTGCACTCGCCCCACAGCCCAGGGCAGCATCCTGATGGGGTGGTTTCAGCGACCTCCTGACGGGTCTCCTTCCCTCTCCCCCCAGTGTCTTTACTCCACATGGCTGTGTGGCTCTTTCAAACACGAGTCAGACCCTGGTGCTCCTCTGCTCAGATCCCCTGGGGCTTCCCATGTCCCTGAGGAAAAGCCCGTCTTTTCTGGGGCCTGTGATATATGGCCCTGGGGGCCTGGGCCCTGGTTATCAGACCTCCTCTCCTCCCTGCTGCCTTGCTGTTCCTCAAACCCACCAGGCACTCTCCCATCCCAGACTGTCTCTGCCTGTAGCACTTCCCTCCCCCAAGACACCCACAGGGTCCTGCTTCACTTCCGCCACCACCTTCTCCAGGCCTTCCTGGGGGCGCCTGCACCCTGGTGCCCCCTCGCTCCCTGCACTGCGACTCCCTCATCTCCCTGCACTGGGATGTGAGCTCCACGAGGGCTCCATTGTGCATGTGTGGCAGTGCCTGGCCGAGCGGATAAATGAGCCAGGCGCCGTGAGAGATGCCAGGACAGAGGGAAGCAGGGAGCCCATCGGCCACGGGGGAGACGGACACTGAGCCCCGGAATTGTGGCGAGTGCTCGCAGAGACCGAGCTGGTCTAGGGCAGGGGCCTGGCGTACCTGGTCCTCATGTTCCTCAGCCACGTGTCCACCAGGTCTGTGCTCAGGTAGTCCTCCAGGGCCAGGTGGTCGCTCATCTTCTCCATGAGCACCACCAGCATGCTGGCGTTCCCTCGGTAGGGCAGCTGGAGGACGTGGCAACGGAGTCTCTCGTCAAAGGTGGAGGCGAAGTTGCCCGCACTGTACATCATGGGCACCTTAACCGTCTTGTACTTGTTCAGGTGGAAAGTGTCTGCCTTGGTGAAGACTGGGTCAAAGGGGGTCAACCACTTCCCTGGACAAGTAAGAAAAGAACTCGGTGTGGAAACCACCCCTTCGGGGTAGCATTCTTGTTTAAGTCACAGAGGGCAGCGCTGCCCAGCCCTCTCTGCCCCAACTGGGCAGGGTGGGCCCGGGAGGTGTGTTCTGACCACAGCTCAGGCAGCAAAACGAACTCCCCAGAGGCCGCCTGTCCTAGCCTCTTTCCCGGCTGGCAGAACCCGGATCCACCTGTGGCCCGTTGGGGACACACAGCGTGAGGAAGTGCACCTGTCCTGCCCTGTCCTCTGCTGGCCCTTAGTCTGTGCAGCCACGTGCGGGCAGGGGCCCTGGGACAGAAGTGAGGACCTCCCCACGCATGGCTGCTCAGGTCCTGCGAGAAGGGGACCCTTGATGACACAGCCACCCGAGCCAGAGAGGCCAGCAGCGTGCAGAGCGTGGCCCTCTACACACAGACTGTCCGGCACAGTGCCTGGCGGCGGGAAGCACATTCTCCTGGGCTTGGCGAGGCCCTAGTGTCAGCTTCCTGCTGCAGCGGCGGCCACACAGCCCCCTGCCCGTTAGAGGGCAGGACGGACAGGGTCTGGCGTGAGTGTCAGGACCCCCTCGCTGAGTCTGGCCTCATGTGACCTTGCCCAGGCTCACCTCTCTGAGCCTCACTCTCATCTGCACAGTAGGTGGGAGGGTCCCCATTTTCTATATTAAGAGTCTGAGGACAGGAAACATTGTCACTTGCCCCAGTTCACAAAAGGAGCGAGTGAAGGAGCAAAGATGTAACCCACATCTCACAGATCACTTGCCCGGAAGGGTCAGCGTCAGAACCTTAGAGGCGTGGAGAACTGCGTAGAGGTGCTTGGGAACTAGGGACCGCAGCACGTGGGCCACCGGCAGGGCCATGGGGGAGCACGCCCGGCCTGTGCCGGGACATCACACGGCCCACGCCTATTTCGGTTTGCCTGTGAGACCCGGCCTCACAGAACATTCTCCAAATACCTTTGAGCAAGACGTAGTCCACGAGGATGACCTTGGTGTCGGGATTGACCTCATCGAAGAGCGTGGGGATTCTCCCCTGCGTCTCCCGGTTCATGTAATGATTCATGAGCTTTCTGGCCTGCGAGGCATTGTGGAAATTCACAGTCACACACTCGGTATCGAAATACCTCTTGGACAAATTGAGGAAGGGCCCTTTGACGTCAAAGTCTTCCTGGACGAAGGCCAGACTCCCCTGGGTGAGGCCCAGCTCCTGGTTGCGGGAGAGGTGCTGTCTGAGCCGCCGAAACAAGGCGGGCAGGTCCCCGGGCCCCGTCTGGCTGAGCACGCCCTCCAGCTGGGCTCTGGTCTGCCCCGTGGCCCCCAGCATCAGGGCCGCCATGGCCAAGGACAGGCCGAGCGGGGAGAAGACCACGTTGCCTTCATGCCTCATGGAGATCTTGCGTAGCAGGCTGAACCCCAAGTTGGAGGTCTGTTCAGAGAGCTGGTGCCCACTGGCCATCAGCCAGGGCTCCTCTTCCTCCTCCTCTGGGGCCTGCACTTCCTGGGAAGTCTCATTCTGGACAGCAGGGGTCTGTGGCCTCGCCTGGGCCGTGCCGGGCACCAGCCACACCCGGGCCAGGAGGCAGGGGAGCAGGAGGCGCAGTACCGCCGCCATCCGGTCAGCGTGGAGGCCGAGCGAGTGCTGCTCTTCAGCAGCGGGGCTTCCTGGGAGAAGGGAGCAGGTTGGTGATCATGCCTGATGCCGCCCCTCGTCCCTGTGTTGTGGTCCATCCTCCAGTGACCCACTTCCTCCCTCTGAGGGGTGGGCAGGGGCTTACCTCTGGCTCATGCAGCCGAGTCCCCTCAGGGAGACCCGGAGGAAGAAGGGTGGCTGAGGTCCACCCGAGGAGGGGATTCTGTTACAGAACCAACCCCCCTCTGGGCCCTAGCCCGCCGCAGCTCCTGGCCTCCCCTCTTTCCCACTCATCCCACTTCTCATGAAGCAGTGGATGGGAGAGGATGTGGTCTGGACCACGGCCTGCCTGGGCGGGGTCAGAGCAGGGCGGGTCAGGAGGTACACAGAGCTTTATTGGTCGGCTTCACTCGTTGCCCCTGATCGCTGGGCCAACAGCAGCCCATCAAGCTGGGTCTTGGCGCCCTGGGTCTGGGGCCTGCTTGGCTGGGGATGCAGAGGGTCGGAGTAGCCATCAGGGCCAGGAAAGGGCAAGTACTGTCTGCCTGACTCGGTGGTGAGAATTCTGCCCCCCGCGCTCCTCTGACAGCCCTGGTGCCCAGTTCCCAGCTCCTGCCAGCTCTCCCTTCCGCCACTGTACCTGGAGGCCCCCGACAGACGTGAGCCAGCTTGTCCTGAGTGAGGCCTGGGCTGACCTCCTCTAACCCTCACAGAGACTGTGAAGTGCGTCCTCGCCCTCAGCCCCACGTGGAGTCAGTCCTCTGGCCCTGGCAGTGGGTCTCCAAACCCCATGCTCCTCACCACGAGCCGGCCAGCCCGAGCACCTCTCCAGGCTCCCTGGCCTCCGGGCGCAGAGCCTGGCTCCTGAGCACCCCGACTTTTCCCGTCTGCGTAAACACCCCAGGGCTGGGCTGTGGGCCCGACAGTCTCCACACTCAGCTCCTGGTGTCCAGGTCTGTGACCCAGAGGCTGGCTGGGCAGGTCACCGAGATGCCCCAGGAGGGGCTGGGAGGGCAGCCAGTCAGCCCAGTGGGCATCGGGCAGGGGAGGCTGCAGGCCTCACAGGAGTCCCAGCAGTGGAGACCCTCACTCTGAACAGGCCCCGTGTGACACGATGGAGTTTCCCAGCCGCCTCTCCCTCACGCAGGTGCTGTGTCCTCGTCTGTGCCTGGCACTAAGTGACACTGGCCCAGGACCCAGTGCACTGCTCTTATGTTAAACGGCCCAGCAGAATGTGCCGGAAGTCACTACCTCACCCAGTGGAACACACCTGCCGTGTTTCCTAAATGTCAGGGTTTAGGCAACTCTGCAATTCTAAACATCAAGGCCGAGTTCAGGAGCTCCCAGTCGCAAATGCTGGGTAAGCACCTCCTGCAGCGTCCAAACGGACCTGGCCATGCTTCGGTAGGAGGCCTGCCTCATGTTGCTGCGCTTTCAGCATTAGGGCCAGCCCCCCTCCACAGCCAAAAGAGCTCGACTCGCTGAAGGCTCAGCCGGCGGTTAGCATTTTTTAGCAATAAAGTATTTTTTAATTAAGGATGTATACGGTTTTACACCGGGCAGTATTGCATACTTGATAAGCTACACCAGGGGTCCTCAAACTCCGGCCCGCGGGCCACATGCAAATACAAATATTGTATTTGTTCCCGTTTTGTTTTTTTACTTCAAAATAAGATATGTGCAGTGTGCATAGGACTTTGTTCATAGTTTTTTTTTAAACTATAGTCCGGCCCTCCCACGGTCTGAGGGACAGTGAACTGGCCCCCTGTTTAAAAAGTTTGAGGACCCCTGCCCTAAGGTCACGCTCACCTACTGAACAGGTCAGAATCTGTGCGCAGGGCGCCCCCCAAGCACGCCGAGGACGCATCACCCTAGAGAACCCGAGTGGGAAGAAACAGCTCACTCACCACTTCCCAGCCCCGAAGCAGGTGAGCAGCACTCACCCAGCCCTGAGGTGGGGGGTTCGCTGGGGGGGGGGGGGGGGGGGGCAGGGAGAAGAGAGCAGGATGCTGAGTGTGGTTTGAACAGTGAGTGCGGCTGACACAAACTGTGGACTTAAAGCCTCATCCCCTAGCCCCTGTGTCCACAGCAGCCTCTCACCCCACCGCTGCCTCTCCGGCCCACGAGTGAGGGCTCGGCGCTGCCCAGCCTCCCCCCTCACCTTAGAGCCCACGCCTCGCTGGTTGGACTGCGAAGGTCTCCCTTTAATCTGCTGCCTCTTACCAGTCTGGGTGCCCCCGGGTGCCTGGGAAGGTCCTTCGTTCAGGGCGAAGGCAGAGGTTGGGGAGCGGGCAGCGGGCAGCTGAGAGCCTGCAGCAAATATTTGCTGTTCCAAAGTGCGCCCCCGAGGGGCCATTACTGATTAACGGCCTGGCCTGCGGGAGAGGCTGGCGTTTCTGGAAACACGGAGAGAGGCTTCCCACATCCGCCCGCTGCCCCTCCCACCCTGAGTGTGGAAATCCCTCCAGGGGAGCTTCTGTTTCGCAACCCCAGGGGATGGTGTTGTCAGGCGCCCACGCCTCCTGAGTCCCCAACCCGGCTGGCACGTGTGGGGGGCGGGGCAGAGACGATGAAGACCTGCTCCCCCAACCTCCAAGGAACTTTGGGTTCAGCGGGAGAGACAGGCAGGTGCCCTGCTATGAGCAACGCAAGGTCAACTCAAGGTCAACTCACTACTTGGCCAGACTCAAGGGCCCGGAGTCCTCAAGTGTCCAACGTCAAGGCTGGGGGAGGCCTTTTAAGACAAAAAGCCCCATCGACCCTCCTTTGTACAATATAAATACTTCATGTGCCCTTCACTACCCTGAAGTGAAATTTAATAGTTACTAGAGCGTATCCACAGATCTTTTAAAAAAGCGAAATACTGCTATAATATGGAGGGGAAATAAGAGTGAAGTATAAGGAAACAATGTTTCTTTGAACGGGTAAATGCTCTGGCATCGCTCCCCTGGAAGGCGTGGGGATGCCGTCCGGCGGGGCCATCTGTGTCGCGCACGGTTACCCATCCAGCGCTGCAGCCGGAATCCCCACCCCAGGCGGAGGCTTAACGAGTCCTGCCCGCACCGCCGGGTACCTGGTCGGAAGGGCTCCTGGGTGGCATTTGTGGTATAATTTTAGTGCCAGAATGAACCTCCGGGCCAGCCCAGGCCCCGGATTTGGACTGTCACCGAGGGGACTGCGGGCCCAGGCGCCCTGATGTCCAGTTGCTCCCGATTGCGGCGCATCACACGCACCTGTCGAGAGACCAGGAAAGCGCTGGCAGGAAGGCCTCTGGTGACCGGGGTGACCTGGGACACAGCTCCGTCCTCCCTGGGACTCCTCGGGGAGGCGAGGGCCACCTGCCACCTCACCTCACACCTCACACCTCACACCTCACACGGCGAGGGCGGGGCTAATAGAGCAAATCTGAAAAGCAGCCAAGGCGTTGCTGGCACGATCGGCCTCAGGAAAAAGTGGGCGGACCGCAGCCAGTCGGCTCCACGTCGGTCCGATGGCGGAAGCTCGGCAGGTGGGAAGGAGCGGGCTTCTCAAACCCTGGCAACGCACGCACACATGCGCGTACATGCACACTCACGCACGCACCATGTCCCACGCCTGCCCGACCACACATGCACGCACACCCCGCGCCCGCCCACGTGCACGCACGCCCACCCACGCATGCAGTAACGCAGACACGCACGCACGCACGCACGCACACCCCGCGCCCGCCCACACGCACGCCCACGCACACAGTACACGCAGGCACGCACGCACGCACGCACACCCCGCCCCGCCCACGTGCACGCACGCCCACCCACGCACGCAGTAACGCAGGCACGCACGCTTACGCAGTGCACGCACGCACGCACACATGCACGCCTGGGCCAAATGTCGGGCTCTTGGCCTCACCAAGCTCCAGTGACGCCTGCCAGGGCTGCGGACCGGCCTGCTCTGTGGCCAGCGCCGCTCGCCCAGCTGATGGCCCAGCAAGTCCATCACTTCCCGGGCTGCCCTGAGAAGCCGCCCTCCGTGGCCTGGGGGAGCGCGGGGTTCCCTGCAGTCTGCCCGCCCAGGAGGCCGCAGGCCGAAGGTTCCTCGGGAGGGAACTGAGAAGCGCTCCCTGGAGGGTAGAGAAACGGATGCTCAGAGAGGGCCCTTCGCTTGTTCAAGGACACCGAGCAGATTACTCTTCAAAGGAGTTGGAGGTGTGTCTTTAGGCCACATTCCTAACAGTGGGATTTCTGGGTCAAAAAATAATATACCTGTAATTTTGTTATATTTGTTTGGTTCAAGAGTAGACACCCCCCCTCCCCCCCAAGATAGGCCCAAGTCCCAACTCCTGGTCCTGTGAATGCGACATTATTTAGACAAGGCGTGGGTTGGCCTCTCGGTCCGCCGGGCGGGGGGAGGGTGGGGGGTGGGGGGTGGGGGGTGTGTGTGGAACCAATGCCCAGTAGGGGGCGTGCAGGAGGCAGCAGATGGATGACTCTCATCCATGTTTCTCTCTCTCCCTCTCCCTTCCTCTCTCTCAAAAAATCAATAAAAACATTAAAAAAAAAAAGAAAGAAAAGGGGTCTTTTCAGATGTAAGTAAGGCGAGGATCTGGAGAGAGGATGGCTCTGGGTTTGGGGTGCGCCTCATTCCTTGGGAAAGAAAGGCAGAGGGAGATTGGGGGCGCAGACCGAGAAGACCAGGCCACTTGAAGACCGACGCGCAGGGGTGGGCGTGTGTTATTCCAAGCCCTGCGCCCCACGGACTGCTGGCGGCCACCCAGCTGGGAGACTCGAATGGATTCACTCCCAGCCTCCAGAAGGAGCGAGCCCTGAGACACCTTGACCTCTGACCTTAGCCCCCCCAAACTGTGCAAGAATTTATTTCTCCTAGTTTGTGGGCAGCCAGCGTGGCTCCGTGGCGGAGCGCCGACCTGTGAACCAGGAAGTCAGGGCAGGTGCCTGGGTTGCTGCTCGATCCCCGTAGGGAGCACCCAGGAGGCAGCTGGTCCATGATTCTCTCTCATCATTGATGTTTCTCTCTCTCCCTTCCTCTCTGAAATTAAAAAGAAAATGTATTAAGATAAAAAAAAGAAAAATAATTTAAAACCACCTAGTTAGTGGTAATCGGCAACATCAGTCTCAGGGAACGAGTAGAGTCTCTGTTGCCAATGCCTTTCCTCGCGGCCATTTTTGCATTTCCACTGTCAGGTATGAGAATGACCGCTCCCACGCAACCCGAAGGGTGTGTTGTGAAGTTTTCAAATGTTTGCCTGCTGGTAGATAGGAAGTGGTATCTCAGTATAGTTTTAATTTGCATTTTTTATTTTAAGCGAAGTTGGACATATGTTCATATGTTTAAGCACCATGGATTAGGGTTTGTCGCTCTACCAGTGACATATATTGCAAATATTTCTTTCAAGTTTCCATTTCCGCTGACTTTGCTTATGAATTGTTGGGCATGCAATTAACAAATATTCTTTACTTAGTCCAGTTGGTCAGTTCTTTCTTCAGTTTCATCTGGACTTTGAGGCATGGTTAGAAAACCTTTTCCTACACCTAATGTATAGAGAAAATGGTGGTGTTTTCTTTCAGTACTTGTATTGTGGGTTTTTTTTTTTACTTCTATTTAGATCTCTGATTCTTAGTTTATTCTTGAATATGGAGTGAGGAATGAGCCTAATGTTATCCTTTCCCTCTCCCAAATGGCTATTCAGTTGTTCCAATGCCATTTACTTAAAAGTCCTCTGGGTCAAATATTAAATTTCCATTTCACCTGCTCCCTGTCTTCCATATCTTTTCCTTTTCAGTGTTTTCCTGGCTATTCTTGCATGTTTATTTTTTTTATATGAACTTTGGTATCATCTTGTCTCTCTCCAGAAAAAATTTGTTAGTGTTTTTATTGGAATACCATTAAGTGATCAAATTAACTTGGGGAAAACTGACACCTGGATGATGCTGAGGCATCTTATTCAAGAAGAAACTTCTTTCCATTTGTCCAAGTATATTTTTGCATCTTTAAAAAAATCTTTACTGTTGAAAGTATTACATATGTCCAATTCTCCTCCCCACCCATTGACCTCTTCTAGCCCACCCCCACCCCTCACCCCAGGCCTTCACCACCCTTTGTCTGGGTCCATGGCTTATGCATATGTGTATACAAGTTCTTTGGTTGATCTCTTCCAACCCACCCACACTCCCCCCACCTTCCCTCTAAGGTTCGATAATCTGTTCCATGCTTCTGTGTCCCTGGATCTATTTTGTTCATTTGATTGCGTCTTTAAGAAGTATTTTATCATTTTCTGAACATAGATTGTGCCCATCTTGTTTATTTCTAACTAGAGGCCCAATGCACGAAATTTGTGCAAGGGGCTCGGTCCTTGCAGCCCCGGCTCGTCCGGAAGGTTGTCTGGATGGCTGTTCTGCTGTTTGGTCTAATTAGCATTTTATTATATAGGATGTTTATCTTTTTGGTTGCTGTTGGGTTTTCTCTTCCAGTACATGTCTTAACTGGTTGTTACTTGTGTGTATGAAGGTCTCTTTTTGCATGTGAATTCCTTTTCCTTATATTAAGCTGAATTTTTTCATTGTTTGAGTTTGTTTAATCATTGTTGTGCTAGGGCTAAGCAAGTATATTAAAAGCCATCTGCAGCTTTGCTTTCTCTTTCTAATTACACAGTCTAACCTCCAGGACAATGCAAAATGGTAGTAGATGTAACTGGCGGCCTTGTCTTACTCTTGACCTTAGTGGGAATACTTCTTATGTTTTCTTACTAAGTAATACAATGGCTTTAGGATTCAGGTCCAGGTATATATGGGATGAGTAGTATATTTAAGGAAATACACTTCAATTCTTATTTTTCAAGATATATGCCCTATCCATCCATCTGTTTAGCTGTTGTCTATTTATCTTTTATCTATTTATCTATCATATCTATTACATCTATTTATATGTCCATCTGTTCGTCATTCAGTCAGTTCAGTTCTTTTATCTCATTGAATACCCTTTGATAAGGTCTCTCTTCCTCAATGTCACTCTATCAGCCCTCTACTGGCAAAGTTTAGCATCATGCCCAGTAGGCAATGCAAAAATATTTAAAAGGCCCAGATTCATTTTTGCAGAGCAGCAATGAAGGGAAGATTAGGAGGTGAGAAGCAACACATTCATTGATAACTTTCTCTGCGTTAAGCAGTAATTATACTTTAAAGATGTTTTTAAGATGTTTTGTTTTATCTACATAAGTATTTGCCCTTTCCAGTGTTCTTCATTCTTTCGTATAGGTCCAGGTTTCCATCTTGAGTCATCTTTTTTTCTGCCTAAAAACTACTTAAAATATTTCTTTAGTGAAGCTGATAAACTTTCTCAGCATTCGTTTATCTTAAAAAAATACTTTGCCTTCAT